AATAAGTGTAAATATTTTCATGGATGGTATATTTTGATCCCAGGAACACGTCCATGAGATTTTTGCAAAAACAGATGTTGAAAATCGTGCATTTTCTTTTAAATTTTCATGTATATTTTTGAAACATTTTTAGAACTGCTTGTTCGCCGTAAATTTTTCCAAGGCGCTAAAAGGGATGCAAATACAGAAAAAATCCGGTGACTCAAATTTCTTTAAAGCTAAAGCAGTTTTTTTGTTGAATATTTTTTTAAGTTGAATAAAATCATTAATCAATTTAACTTAATTATAAAAAAATCGTTCATGTATCTGTCAAAAAATTTATTAAAACTTATTAGGTAAGTTAAACACCATACAAAAGATCGGCCCCAATTAATTATTACCTAAAATATTTACACTCTCACTCTGCAACTTAGAACCGCGAGTATTTTTAAGTAATTTTAAAACTTTCCTTCAATTCCTCTTAGAATTTGACCTTTAAACAAATCACTGCGCGATGAGATTATGAAATAACGTTTTGAAGGCTTCAAAATATATTTATATAACATATTTAAAATGAGAACACAATACATTTACATTTTATTTTTATACCACTCTGTTGTATTGCCAACCTGTACATAGGAAATCCCATGTGAATTTTAAAAATAATGAATGAGTTTTCCCCATGCAGAAAAAAATATTTGAAACTTTTTGAGAAACTCATCAAATGAAGCAAATTGTTTATTTTCAATAGCTTCTAAGAATTTCTTTTGGAGTTATAAAAGATAATAAAATACTAAATTTATTTGAAAAAAGAATCCGGTTGTGATTGAAATAACCCTCAACTGGCGATGGCGTGGTGAATTTTTGTAACGCTTATGGCGTGCTGGGGTCCGACGTACCCCAATTTTGTTTTTCAGTTTAAAATACATGATGAAGAGATTTTATAAAAAGCTTGTTATTTTAACACCGTTTACAATATATTCAAAATTCTGAACAAACAATTTAATTAATTTTCAACAAATTAATAAGAACGGACACAAAACTAAATTAAAACGCATTTTTTAGGAACTTTTGACAACAGAAATATAACTTGGCTTATTCTTCTATGGGTTTCTTACCCATAGAAATTAAAAACATATATATTTTATGATTTTACCGTATTATTAAAAGTACAAACAACTTAAATGTGAAGCTAAAATAATAAACATAAAGAATTTTCAACAAAACTGCAAACCTTGAAGGTACATAACTTTTTCAAATAATACAGTTCGTGCTAATATAGGATCTGCATTTGCCGCACATGGATCGTGCACATTTGATTCATGAGATTTTGTCATTTCGTCATTGACATATGGTTGCCATATACCAGATCTCTTTCTTTTCTGGTATTGATTATTCAATTTTCTCTCTTCTATAAGTAAGAGATTCAGAATCGCAGTTATGGTTACTCTTCGGAGAAAAATCAATGTCTCGATGGTCTTCATCTCACTTAAGCCTCTTTAAGTTCATCAAACCACTCAATTAATGCTTCCTCAAAATTAGCGCCCCAGTGAGGCACACTTTTTAGACTACCCACCATCCAAATAATGTAACATTCTTGGCGTGGTGGTGCCACACAGAACCCAATGAAACTTTATCCCCCGCTTGATAAAATCAAGTGCGCCTTTAACAGGTGCATATTGGTACTCTAACTTAAAGGTAAGTGGCGCGGCGAGGCCTTGTTCTTAAACGTCAACATTTTACAGAGTATAGTACAGTAGATCTGCTGGATCTGTGTCTATGAAAGGAATGCGGACAAAAAACATTTAAATAAACAGCAATATATTTTATACGTCGACTTGACGAGTACGTCACCGCAAATCGCTCCGCCCACTCATTTTGTGGCCACTTGCAAATTTGTCGAATTTTTATTGATGGGACGCGTCGTCTAATTTTTTTACGAAAAACATCGAGAGAATATCGTTTCCCCTCTTACGGATACCGCGTAGCTACAGAACGGACAGACGTACTGTAAATTGTGCTTGGGTCCGCTGGATCTCACCACGCCAGTTGAGGGATAACAAACATGCCACCCAAATGCCACCTTCAAATTCAAAGGCAACTTGACGTTACTGTTGCCAAAAATAGTTTAAAAAAAATCATTTGCCATATTGACTTTTTCTGTGCCAATAGTTATTTGTGTAACTAGTGCAAAAAACATATTTGTTGCACGACGCGTGAGTTTTGATACAACTTTGATCGACTTCGTCTCGAGCTGCAATCATGCTGAGCTGGTTTCATTTAGTTTCTATTGAAGCATCTTTCAAGTGTTAATAACATAGGGCAGATATTGATTGTAATTAACACCCTTATAATTCCCTTTATACATAAATAACTATACAAAATCTTTATCGTACATTCAGTAAACTAAAAAAATCAATTTATCATTTAATTTATTAATTCCTATTTAACATTTAAAAAGGTATATTAGGCAAATCATTTAACAAATTTATGCAAAAATATGTATATTTTGTCTTAAAACTCATTTAGATCGTATTTATTTACCTATTCAAATATTTTATGCTTTGTTTGTATTGTTAATGTGAAAATGAATAGCATGAATAGTAAATATGTGACTATTAAGCTGCAATAACTGACAATAACTCATGATCTATCTTGCTAGAGAATATAATATATAGTTTCGAGACCGACAAACACGCAAACTATTATTATTTTCGGTTCTTCACTTCAAAATAATCTCTAAATACGTGGTGCGTAAAAATAAACAAGTCAAATATCCGTACAAAATTAAGTTTTAAGAAATAAACTAATTTAAGCAGCTATATCGCACTTCAGATTCTTGGGATGCGAGCAATGGGGATGCTTATATGGCAAAGATAATAACTACATGAAAAAAATTCACTGTTGAAGAATCGCAAAAACTTTTAGAAAGGTGTTTGTTTTTTATTATATTTATATATTAAAACGTGTTTATAGGCGAAATTAAGTAATAGTTGCAAGAGAAAGTTTTAATGATAATAAAATTAAACGAAATTGATATTTAGGCCAAGAAGCCTTAATAAGTCGAAGCTTATGTGTCCCACTTTTAATGGGGAGGAGTTTTATATTGTTCAATTTAATTAATTATATAACTACTTTTCCTTTATGCATTAGAAGATTTTTAAATCTGACAAAAGGGGGATTATACTATTGCCTATACAATTCTCTCTAATCACTGAAGTATCCATGTCACTATATGGAATTTGCTATGTTTCTCACAAAGAATTATTTCTTAGTTATTTTATTTTTTTTTATTCGGAACACATAAAGTCCAAAAATTAGTGTCCACGCTGTACACATTTAAATATAAATAATAATGTTAGTATATGACATAAATTAAGATTGATTGGCGTATTCAATTCTTTTCCTGCTTCACCGGAAATTACTAAAACTTATGATTTTTAAATGGCACACTCTGAATAGAATGACATATCATATGTCAACTTTTGACATTTTTGCATATGGTTTGTTTGAAATTATAACTTGCGCTTTGTAACGAAAATTTGACTCGAAGTACCAAGTGTGTGGTATCAAATTACTCCTAAAAATATCTTTGTCCAAATATACTAATGATCCACACTAGTTCCATTTGAAAAATTGAGATATGATTAAAAATACGATTTTTTAACCGGCCAGGACAAGACACTAAAAACATTAGACGATCAAATCTATTTTTCCAAGGCTCCTTCATTAAGAATTATTAGTGTTTTTAACATAGCCATGGCAGTCTAGATTGAAATTTAAAATACGATTTTTTATTACACGAGAATGTCAAAAGTTGACCTATGATATATATTTTATTCAGAATGTCATTTTCTATCGAATAAAGTAAAAAAATACAGAGGGTGCCATTTAAAAATCAAAAGTTGTAGTCATTACCAGTGAAACAGGAAGTGGTCAAAAACAATTGAATACGTCAATCATTCCTAATTTATGTCATATACTAACCTACCAAATCTAGTGAGTCTACCAAGTTATAGTGAGTCACTTTTGAGACGCACGACCCGGTATAAACAGCTCTTTTAGACTTATTTCAAAAATGGTATGAAGAAAATATGTTTCTTTTATCAAGAAATACCAGAAAAATGCATCTCTCAATTTCATAAATTAATTGTACTTATAGGGTGGCCAAATATTCCGTGCACATAACTACCACATATTTTTATAATCTAAATAATAATAAATAATAATAATTTGCTGCAATCAGAAATAAAATATGAACGAAAAAAAAATCGGCGTCAGCGATGGCTATGAAATGAAGATAGCTGTCATTTCATAGCCATCGCTGATGCCGTTTTTTTTATCATATTATAATTGATTAAATATGTGAGATACGTTCAAGTATAAGAGAGTACAAATGGAGGAAGTGCCACCACAGGTAAGACCAAGTGATATTGAAAATCATCTTTTTACCTCTACATATCAAGCGTGAAATCCTGTAAAACACACGAAAATGGGGACACCCTTTACATATACAGGGTGAGCCTTAGATAAATGCAAATATATTCAGGGATGGTAGATCTCGATAAAAGAAACATATTTTCTCTTTACCTTTTTTTCAAATAAGTCCAAAATAGCCGAATTGCTTTACTTTGAAAATAAAAAAAATATTTTTTGTTAAAAAGGTCAATGGCTTTAAGGTCAAATTCTAAGAGGAAGAGTATTTCTTTCTTGTAAATTTATGTTGCCATATTATCAAAACACTATGTTTTTTAACTAAAAATTACAAAAAAAATTTTGTTTTTCAAATTATTCCAAATTTTCAAAAAAAAAATCGCGAAAAAATAATCTGTGAGATACATTCAAGCACAAGAGTACAAATGGAGGAAGTGCCACTACAGGTAAGACCAAGCGATAAAGAGTTAGAAGAAAGTGATCATCATTGTGCGTTCTCCGTCGGCACAAGGTAGGCTTTTAGGGGGGCGAGACGATGCCATACACCAAATAATACCCAGTATAAAGCTCGTTCAATTTGACAAAATTTCTCAGTAAATCGACAGCGTTTACACGACTTCCCCTCAATCTGGGGTTGACATTTGTCAAAATGCAGTGGCTATCACTATTGGTTAGTGTTGATTTTTTGTGGTAGTTTAGTGTTTCAGTGGTCCCACATTTATTATTATTCTTCAAGATATGGTTAAAACTATAGAATTAATTATACGGTAACAACTACTATTACAGCGATTTTTTAATTGCACAAAAGGAATTATAAAAGTTCACATTAATAGCTGATACACGTAAAGGGTATATTTTTTTATATAAACGGAGGAAATATAACTATTTATTAAAAAGAAACGTTTCAACATAGTTTAAAAAACATTTTGATGTAATAAATAGAAATACATTATCGTATGTAGATAAATAGCAGGTTTATTATATCATTTACTTCCGTATACAGGGTATTTCAAAAAACATGAGCCATTTCCTGTGGGGAGATTCCGCACGTAATAATAAGATTAATATTTTATATCAACATAGGTCCGATTATGCTTTGTTTCGTAGCTAGAGGTGGTTAAAGTCTTAATTATTTTATCGACTTATTATAATTTTTTTCCAGGTGATTTGCATATGGGTGAAGACGTGCATATAAGTCATCACTGGAAAATTTTTCTAAAAAAAACATGTGCGCCAGTGACTTTTTTTCTGTTTAGTAAAATTGTGTAGGCTGTTTAAAACCGATTAAAAGTTGTATCTTAATATAAACATAATTTTATTAATTACCAATTAATTAAATTAATAAATTATTTATTTCATCTAATTTATTATTAAATTTTATTAAAATTTATGTCACAGACGTTTAGTGTTACTTACAGCAAATTAAAGAAAAATAATGATAATTAAGACAATTAAAAAATATCTATTTATTTAACTTTAAAAATCTATCTATAATTTTATAGCATTACCTTAATAGCATAACTTTTAGCTACAAAATTTCGTGGCTAAAACAACTTGGAAGAAATTATAATAAATCGAGAAAAAAAATTAAGACATGACTTTAATCACTTGTAGCTACGAAACAAAACAGAATCGGATCTATGTTGATATAAAATATAAATCTTATTTTTACGTGAGGAATCTTCCCACGAGAGATGACACCTGTTTTTTGACCAACACCAACACCCTGTATAAAAATTAATCCAAGCCCATTCTATTTCAAATTTAAACAAACATTATTATACACCATTGACAGAAAATAGATACAATACTGATAAGTGATAAGCAAAAGTAGTATTAAAAAAAGTTTTCTGATTAACTTGAGTACTAGAACCTATGTATATGTCTTCTTTTGTCTTTCCAGACTTTTGTAGTAATATTTTTGGGGGTGGTATATTTTGATCCCAGGTACACGCCCATGACATTTTTTTCGCAAAAAAAGATGTTGAAAATTGTGCATTTCCTTTTAAGTTTTCCTGTATATTTTAAAAAAAATTTAGAACTGCCTGTTCACGGCAAATTTTCCTACGGTAAAATTTATTTTTCTCTGATATTACCATGGCTACGGTACTAAAAGATGCAGATATGGAAAAAATCCGGTGGCTCTCAAATTTTTTCAAATATGTTTCCTTTATCGAGATCTACCGACTCTGAAAACATTTGCGCTTATTTAAGACGCACCTTTATGTTTTTTAAATCATTTTTATTGATATACTTGAAGAGTTTATTGATAAAGTTAAACTCGAGGAAATGTAAGTTGATCTATACGTATACAGGGTGTTCCAATATGCCATGGACATAAAATTACGACATATTTTTGAAATGAAAATAAGTTTTTTGGACATAATTTGCCTCTATACAAAAGTCCTTCGAATGTCTGTTAGAGGGCATCGTTTTTAATATCGTAACATCGTAATATTAAGAACCGACACCTATCCTGATGTGAATGAGATTTGTTATGCATATATGTTTTGCTAAGCGCTTTTACATTGCATTTTCACAACAAAAAACAAGCAGTTTACAATTATAAATTAAAATATGATATACAGTACGTCTGTCCGTTCTGTAGCTACGGGGTATCCGTGACAGGGGAAACGATATTCTCTCGATGTTTTTCGTAAAAAATTAGATGACGCGTCCCATCAATAAAAATTCGATAAATTTGCAAGTAGCCAATAAAATGAGTGGGCGGAGCGATTTGCGGTGACGTACTCGTCAAGTCGACGTATAAAATATATTGCTGTCTATTTAAATGTTTTTTGTCCGCATTCCTTTCATAGACACAGATCCAGCAGACGTGCTGTAATAAATGTTTTGGTGTTTCTCAAAAGTGGCTCACCCCCTATAACTTTTTTATTTTTTCAGATAAAAAACAAGATTTGGTTTATGACATAAATTAGGATTGATTGACGTATTCAATTGTTTTCGGTCACTTCCTGTTTGACCGGAAATTACTGCAACTTTTGATTTTTAAATGGTATCCTCAGTATTTTTTTACTTTATTCGATAGGAAATGACACTCTGAATAGAATAACATATCATATGTCAATTTATGACATTCTCGCTTAAAAAAATCGTATTTTAAATTTCAGTCTAGAGTGTCATGGCTGTGTTATAAACATTAATGTTTAATCAAGGAGCCTTGGATTTGATTGTCTAAAGTTTTTCGTGTCTTGTCCCGGCCGGTTGAAAGATGTCGAAATCGTATTTTTAATCATCAATCTTTTTCAACAATTTTTTCAACTGGAACGAGGATGGCTCATTTGGAAAAAGCATTTTTTTACGAATAATTTGGTGCCACACATTTGATATTTCGAGTCAAATTGTCGTTACATTTATTACCATGGTACTCTAAATTGAAATTTAAAATGCTAGGTATTTTTTTAATTAAATTATGTTAAAAGTTGACATGTGTGAAAGATATGTCATTCTATTCAGAGTGTCATTTATTAACGAATAAAGTAAAAAAATAATGAGGGTGCCATTTAGAAATCAAAAGTTGCAGTAATTTCCGGTGAAAAAGGAAGTGACCGAAAACAATTGAATACGTCAATCAATCCTAATTTATGTCATATACTAACATACTAAATGTCGTTTTTTTTTCCTGAAAAAATAAAAAAAGTTATAGGGGCGATCTAGGTTTTGAGACGCATCCGGTAGGTGCTTCAATAGAAACTAAATGAAGGGTCCAGGGAAAAACATCATAAGCGCCATTTTACTAATTTTACAGGAGAGTACTGAACGGCCCCAGTTGTCAAGTTTTTTTTCGTGTATATATATTTTTACTATAGGCATATTATAGAACAACTTATTGCCCTGCAGATTTTATACATTTTGTAGGGACCTGTTCATCAGTACAACAGATCAGTACGACATAAACCTAGCACCTAGTCCCGTAATGCAATTCTTCCAATACAAAGAGTTGTGAGATCTCAGATCTCATGTAAAACCAAGTCAGTTTATTTTATTTAGTTTCTATTGAAGCACCTATTCAATAGTTTTGTTATAAATTGTTAGTATCAATATTAGACATCTTTATTTCTGTAATAATTAATGACTTGGTAATTGGCCCTGTATGCTATTATGCTATTCTACTAATACTTTATACTTAAATGCAATATTTAGGATTAAATTTAAAATAACTTTAGTGTGTGTGTGTTTATATTTAATATAATTCAGACAATTAGAATCGTTCTATCCTTTTTTAATCTTTCTAGTAATGTTAAGTTTTATGCCAATTTTTGATAACTAATGACGTCTAGAGATTGTCCTCGTCAAAATTATCATCGATTGTCATTCACCAGCCGTCTGGGACACGGTTTTTTTTCGATCATACGGTAGTTGGCATAAGAAAACATTGCTTACCTAAGGAAACTGAAAAGGATAGGTTCGTTTTCGTTAGCGTGAGTTCGCGAACACCTTTTGCGTCACCGAAATGTTTTCACTTTTCTTCGGCGATCACATAGAAAAAAAACGCGCAAGAATAAGCATCGGCGCCCATTACGCTTTTCTTAATAAAAAAAGAAAAGGTGTATCAGTTATGTAACTACAAATAAGGCGAATCATGTTCATCTCGTAGCAAGTAGTAATTATCTAGTACACAGGGTGTTCCATTTTCGTGTCTTTTATGGAGTTAAAATATGTAATTTTTTGATATTTTTTTTAGTTTTTATTTAAAAAATATAGTTTGTTGATAATATGGCAACATAGGTAGTAAATTAAATTTACAAGAAAAAAAATTCAGAAAGATTCAGTAGTTCTCAAAATGTTAGCAAAAAATAACTTTTTTGGAAATTTTCAAAGTAAAATATCTCGGTTATTTTAGATTTATTTAAAAAGCGGTAAAGTGAAAATATGATCTCTGGTATCGAGATCTACCAGCCCTGAGAATATTTGCACTTATTTAAGACTCACCCTGTATAAAGAAAATCGTTATCATGACAAATAGTCAAACTTAATACGGATTAATTAGACTTTACTTGTTAAATTTCTAAAATTGTCATGGTAACAAAATTCTTGAAGTGAAACTATAATAATAGAGTTATTAATGTTTAAATAGGTCTACTTAAAAAAGCGGATGGTTAGGTGATCCCAATTTTATTGTCTTTTGATTTAAAAAAGTATACATAGAGTTCAATTTAAAATAACAAAGATTTGGTCAATTTTATAACAACCGATTTATATATTTTGTAATACCGATCCTACAGATTTGCTATATGCCCTATTATCGACCGCTGAAACTATGACAACAATTAACACGATTTTCCTATAAAAATACTACAGTTAATCGACGCTCATTGGCCGTACCTACTAAGTACCGATAGCCGTCGGTACCTTACAGATACCGATGATAGTCGATGCCGTGTATAGAATAGCGTACCTGAATTGGTACTATCAATTCCTCAAAAATAATTTTTGTTTTAGGTGGTCGGATGCTGTTTAGCAGTTCCAACTCGATCTAGCCCTGTTAGTCTCTCGCGAAATAAACGGTCCTTCCATCACGAACCTGAAGGGTACTGGAGCAAAAAATTAACATGGAAAACCGAATGGGTTAAAGTATGGAAAATTGAGAAAAAACTAGAATGGAAACCTGACTGGAAAAAAATTCAGGTGCCGATCTGGAAAGAAGTACAAGTTCCAGTTTGGAAAGAGATTCAAGTACCAGATTGGAAAACCATCAATAAACCAGTGTGGATTGAAAAAAAAGTTCCTGCTTGGAAAGAAATTCAAGTTCCGGACTGGATAGAAAAACAAGTTCCAGCTTGGAAGGAAATTCAAGTTCCAGACTGGAAAGAAATTCAAGTTCCTGACTGGAAAGAGATTCAAGTTCCCGACTGGAAAGAAATCCAAGTTCCAGCATGGAAGCAAATTTGGAAACCGATCTGGGTAGAAATTCAAGTTCCCGCTTGGAAAGAAATTCAAGTACCCGAATGGAAGAAAAATTTTGTACCTGAATGGGTGAAGGAGGGCATACATGGAGAGCACTATTTGGGCAAAGACGAGCACGGAGCTGAATACACGGCTCACGATTTATGGAAGAAAAAACTTATATGGAAACCCGTATGGAAGAAAGTATGGAGAACCGAGAAAAAGCAAATATGGGTGCCGCAAAAGAAAATGGAATGGAAATCGGAGTGGGTGAAGGTATGGAAAACAGAAAAAAAGCAAATTTGGAGAACTGAGAAAAAACAAATCTGGAGAACTGAGAAGAAACAGATCTGGAGAACAGAGAAAAAACAAATATGGATTCCCAAAAAAGTCCAAATTTGGAGAACCGAAAAGAAACAAATTTGGGTTCCGAAAAAAGAACTTATATGGAAACAAGAAAAGGTACAAATATGGAGAACAGAAAAAGTGAAAAAATGGGTGACTGAGAAGAAAGAAGCGTGGATCGATAAATGGAAAAAAATATGGGTACCAGTTTGGAAATCTATTGAAGTTCCAGCATGGAAAAAAGTCTCGAAGCCTGTTTGGGAGAAGGTGTGGGTAAAAGTTCATCACCACCATGGCTGGGATTAACAGGGAATCATCTCAATAGTTAGAGTCAAGTGGTGTAAAAATGAGTCATTTTTCAAAACTTTTAGCTTTTTTCTTAGTTACAATAACCATTAAAAAACAAAAGTATTTCTTCTATAAAAGGCGTTTGGTGGCAACCAAACTATTGCAAAAGTACAAATATACAAAAATAACCCTTAAAAAGTCAGCATGCAGAAAAGAATGTCTCATATAACCCATAAAAAGTCTAAAAATGAGACATGCTGGGTTAAATATGAGACAGTCACAAAATGCACGTTTAAGCTCAGTTCATGCACTTGCGAAATGCGATTTACGAATTGCGAAATGCGTTCTTTTTGCCTTGCAATTGGCCGCTTTCAAGGTCTTTCAATTCGCAAGTGCATGAACTAGGCTTAAAGGCCCTGTTATTTTTTATATTATGTGCTGAAGAAAAGATGAAATTTGAAGGATAGAAATTAGACATGGTAATTTATTTTTTTATTAGTAGAACTGAAATAAAAAAAAATCTAAACTAATAAAGAATACCTACATATAATTCAAATCAAAATACACTAAAATTACACCGTCGCAAAACATTTATAAACTGAAAAAATTGTAGAACAATTATATTAAATTAAAAATGAAGGATCAAAATATTAATAGTATCACCTTAAAGAGTGGAACAAAAAATTAGAGATATACCAATTAACGAACTGAGTATTTCTCAAAATTTATTGAAAAAGCAAACATCTCCGCAGTTTTAGAACTCCTGCCTTGCAAATTTGATGGTGCTAATTTTAAAACAATGTTTTCCTTTAAAACTTTATTTATCTCAGTAATTTTGATCAAAGCTTTGGTAGCGTGTACTAAGGTTACATCTCCGCTGCTGACTAAATTTGCAGCCTTTTTAAGATGTCTTTCTATATATTTCTTTGGTTTCTTTACATTCTTTTGTAAAGAAACAAGTTTTTTGAGTTGTGACTAAAATTTAACAATCTACATCCTAGTAATACCGTATGATCAAAAAAAAAACGGCTTTCAGCTGGCTTGGAAATGGACATCGATGACATTCCCCATATACTACATTTTTGTCATTATTACACCTGTGTGTGTCTGAAATTTACCTTTCCAAAAAAATAGCTTCTCATACCAACATGACTTAATTTTAAAAAAATTAAAAAAATGTAACTCACCCGACAAGAGTTTGGTAGTCAGTTTCAAACGACTTAAACCTCAAAACGAGACAATATATTGATTAATCAAGATTAAACAAATTATAGGGATGATCTGTTAACAATTATTGTTAAATGTTTCGAACAAGAAAACTGACTGAATATAAGTTTTCAGTCATTTTATTTGAATATGTCAATTTTACACCACTTGACCCTATCACATTGTTACAATTGAGTACTAGTTTCTTTCTGTAAATACGTGATTCTGTCTTTCTTTAAGTTTAAGATTTGTAAGTATTTGTATATAGATACCACTAAGAAAAGAATGTTAATATGTTAAAAAATTGAAAAGTAAAAAATGAAATAAATTTTTTATATAAAATTAATTTTTAATTAAATAATGTAAAGAAAAAATATTTTACTTAAAATTAGCAAGGCGCTGTTTCTGACCAATAACATATAAATATTTTTATAAAACGATTGTTTTAAATATATTAACCAAAACAACTTTTGAAGCGTAAGTTGTTTCTTTTTGATCTATATGTTTTTTCAATTTGATTGTTTTTTGTCTCTTAGATCTATACCTGAAATAAAATTGATCTAGTGGCTAAAAGGTTTATTATATTAGGCTATATTATTTCCCATATCCCGTAACTATATTCACCGGCAGGAAAAACGGGCACTTTAAAATTTTGATGTATTTTATAGTTTTATATATTTTGTTCTGATTGACCGATTTTGATAAATTCTTAAGCAATTTGTAGAAAAATTATTTGACTTTTTAGTATCTCTTTCTAAATTAAAAATGAAAGTTCCCATATGTGTATTATACGAGGGAAAACAAAATGTTGATATCTTGGTTTTTGGTGAATGTTTGAAACACCCTGGTGGAATATCTTAACAAAGCAAGGAATTTAAAAATCATTTTATCATCTAGGTGCATCTTTTCTCCATAGTTTGTGTTTTGTGTTCCAATAATATCATGATTTTTCAATGACAGTGACATGATCTATCAAATAGATACTAGGTCTGTTGACTATAGGACCAAAAGCAAAGACATGGTTTTAATGTAAAAATTACGAAACAATGTTAGCGTTCTCTTCAAAAGCAAATATCTATCGAGAAAAAATGAAAATTTCTTTTCACCAATTTGTTTTTCCTCGTATAATTGATAGATGGGAACGGATACAAAAAAGTCAAACAATTTAGCTACAACTTGCTTAAAAAAATATCAAAATGCACACTAAAATAAAACATATTAAACCTTAATATACATCAAAATTTTTAGGTGCCCGTTTTTCATGCTGGTGAGTGTATAAAATATATGTATATGTATATGAACAAAAATTGATGCAATATCAGAGATGGTGGAAACACTGGTGGCAGTCATAAATATATTATCTGTAAAAAATTAGATTTTGATTAACTACGTTATGAGCATAATCCTGCAGCCGGATATACTATACTATTATATCAGAGATTCCCTCAATTAGAATTCTATACCGGGTGCGTCTCAAAAGTGGCTCACCCCAATAACTTTTTTAGTAGGATTGATTGACGTATTCAGTTGTTTTTGGTCGCTTTCCTGTTTGACCGGAAGTGACTACAACTTTTGATTTTTAAATGGCACCCTCGGTATTTTTCTACTTTATTCGACAGAAAATGATATTCTGAATAGAATGACATATCATATGTCAACTTTTGACATTTCTGCTTAAGACAAAATTGAATTTTAAATTTCAATCGAGAGTGCTATGGCCGTGTTAAGAACACTAATTTTTAATCAAGGGGCCTTGGAAAAATAGATTTGATCTTCTAATGTTATTCGCGTCTTGTCATGGCCGGTTAAAAGATGCCCAAATCGTATTTTTAATCGTATCTCAATTTTTTCAAATGGAACGAGGGTGGCTCATTAGGATATTTTGAAAAAGAGTCAAATTGTCGTTATGAATTGCATGTTACAATTTCAAATAAACCATATGCCAAAATGTCAAAAGTTGACATATGATGTCATTCGATTCAGAGTGTCATTTTGTATCGAATAAAGTAAAAAATACCGAGGGTGCCATTTAAAAATCAAAAGTTGTAGTCATTCCCGGTGAAACCGGAAGTGACCGAAAACAATTGAATACGTCAATCAATCCCAATTTATGTCATATACTAACATACCAAATCTCGTTGTTTTATCTGAAAAAATATAAAGTTATAGGGGTGAACCAATTTTGAGACGCACCCGGTATTTATTGAAATACGGAATGGATGATAAACACGGTGTCTTGCTGAAAATTTACTTCACAAGTTTTACTTCACATGGCTTGTTTCATTTGTCTCATGGGATGAGTCTTCTTGCAAAGATATAGTAGTAATGTTAGTTCTTAACATTCATTTTCCATGTACTAATATGGATGTATGCATAATTCGAATCACTTAATGCCAGGTAAGATTTGGAAGGAACTATCAATGAAAAATCTGAATTATTTATTGGAATTGATAGAAGTAACAACTTATAATACAAGTCTTGTTCCAATAAAGAAATTTCCATAATAAATGTTACTGTATCATCTTTTAATTTTTTTCAAAGTTTAGAATGTTTTCTATCTTTATTTCTAAAGGGAAAATATGTGTTGGTTTATTTTATTTCTATACAGTTTTCTATTTCTTTTAATAGTTCTGTTGGATTCGCAATCGAGTTATGTAAAACATTTATTTTTTTACATAGAAATTTATTTTATTACTTTTAATAGAACACTATTTTCTCTAAAATATCGTATATATTTTGGAAAATTAAATATATTTCATTTATAATAATCATATTTTGAAAGTATCGTTTTTTTTTTCATTATTTTTATTTATTATTTTCTTCTAGATATATAACTAACCTTTAAAGCATTGAGAATTGAGAATCCTATTTTTACGATAAATATTGACTTTAACAAAAACCATAGAAAAGAAAAACGTATGATTTGTTCTCGTCTTCCCATAAAATTATTTTCTTATAGGTTAACACGGAAAAAATAAATTGTAATAAACTTTCGTTGTAGCTTTTATTTCTATCAATTTGTAGATCTCCAAGATAGTTAAATATGCTTGATTTTATACGAAAATAGCGAACAAGTATGGTGGTAATTCTCACAATTTGTGCCAGAGAATATTCAAATTGTACCCGTTGAAATTAAAATGAGAATCATTATTACAAATTGTAGCACTACTAACTGTATTTTTTTGACACAACTTGCTGTTACTAGGTCAGTCTACGTACTATCTGTAAACTGAGTTGGGAAAGAATAATATAGCTTAGCTAATACAACAATTGTGTGTCATATGTGTACAAAAATCTAAGTACAATGTTGTATTTTTCCTTTTTATGTTTTTTTTTTCACTGTAGGCAATTTCCATAAACTATTCCTTCAGTATTTTATTTAAAATTCTAGCACAGTTTAAAGAATATAAAATATATATTATATATTTTTTTATATATTTTATATTCTTTAAACTGTGATTCTAGTGACATATTATAAATGCATAATACAAATTTAGTAAATTAAAGTCATTAAAAAATATCCTAAGAAACATTGAATATATCAACATTAAAAATATCCAAATATTTTTGAATAATATAAATAATATTTGAATGTATACGGTGTGCTTGTCGGCTTCGATATTGACAAAATGGCGACGGAATTGACTTTAACAGTTCCACATAAACAAAATAGAGAAAGATTCCTAGCATGTACATATAAAAAAAATGACCGTTGTCCATCATTGCCCATTTTCAAATAAGATAAGTGTCACCCCTGTTGTTAAATAGTTGAATTCACCATCTTGCTACAGATCGTTCCCTTTATTTTTTATTATGATTAGTAAATGATGGACTGAGCTTTTTAAAAGTATCTGCTTTATTCTGAGTTATTTAAATCTACTGCAACTAAGGTAAGCTATTCTAATGTTATACCAATGAACTAATTTAATTTAACCTAAAAACCTGTGTTTATTAATTTTGACTAAAATTTACTGTTCTCGTTTCCAAGTTTAAAAAAGTGATAACTGGTTATTTTTAACGGCTTTATTTTTAAAAATAATAAATCAAAATGAACTAAATATTTTGTTACAGTTGAAGATGAAAAACAAGTACTAGAATACTTGGAGAAATCGATGAAAAATATCGTACCACTGCTTGGAGAATTTTGAAGAAGCAAAATTTTAAGTCATTTAAATATTCCGAACACCAAGAATTATGGACGGGGGTGAAGAACGTAGGAAAATTTTTCTATATTATTTCTATATTTTTATTTTCTGGTTAACAAGAACTTAATTTTGTGAATTGTTTAGTGTTTAATAAATAAATTTTCTTTTGAAGCAGTGTGTTTACTTATCTACGAAATATATTTTATTTTTTGAAGATTCTGTTATGTTTACAATGTACTTTTTGTAACTTGTCATATAGAATAGGTATATCTTCAGATATTCTTGGCAGATCTCTGTAAAAGAAATTCATAATAGATTTGTCATATTGTGACCGAACTTGTAATAATTGTTAGGTTTGTTTGACCAGGACCTGATTATTTTAAATTTATAAAATAAATATATTTTTTATATAATAAAATTTATTTTTTGCATCTGTCAACGAATTCATGTAAATTATTCAAAATGAACAAAATACATTTTTCTGTAAAATAAAATGGGGAAAACTTATTCATCATTTTAAAAATCTACATGGGATGGCCTATGTTGAGGTGATAATACCAACATACGGTATATAAATATTCATGTTACCAGCCGGTATTTGTAAATTTGTTTAGGTCGCTGCCAAATATTATAACCGAGGGGTGTCTCACTTGGGTAAAATATGTACGTACTGCCAAAATATCATTTTACTGCCAAGCGACTGCCAATGAGTGCGAAGTTTATCATATAATAATTAATTATAGTCGACTACCGTAGGACAGGTGCCAACAAGACTTACTGTCATGTAATTTTAAATTATGATCTTACTCTACCGGGCGCGTCTCAAAAGTGGCTCACCTCTATAATTTTTTTATTTATTCAGTTAAAAAAACGAGATTTGATATTTTAGTATATGACATAAATTAGGATTGATTGACGTATTCAATTATTTTCGGTCACTTCCTGTTTCACCGGAAATGACTACAACTTTTGATTTTTAAATGGCACCCTCGGTATTTTTACCGAGGTACTTCATTTGATAGAAAATAACACTCTGAATAGAATGACATATCATATGTCAATTTTTAACATTTTTGCGTATGGTTTATTTGAAATTATAACTTGAGGTTTGTAACGAAAATTTTTTTTTGACTCGAAATACCAAGTGTGTGGTATCAAATTATTCGTAAAAAATGCTTTTTCCAAATATACTAATGAGCCACCCTCGTTCTATTTAAAAAAATGAGTTATTATAAAAAATACCAAGTACTAAAAATACGATTTGAGCATTTTCTAACTGGCCAGGACATGACACTAAAAACATTAGATTATCTAATCTATTTTTCCAAGGCTCCTTGATTAAGAATTGGTGTTTTTAACATGGCCATGGCACTCTAGATTGAAATTTAAAATACAATTTTTTATTAAGCAAGAACGTCAAAAATTGACATATGATATGTCATTATATTCAGAATGTCATTTTCTATCGAATAAAGTAAAAATATACCGAGGGTGCCATTTAAAAATCAAAAGTTATAATAATTTCCGGTGAAACAGGAAGTGACTAAAAACAATTGAATACGTCAATCAATCCTGATTTATGTCATATACTAACGTACCAAGTCTCGTTATTTTATATGAAAAATTAAAAAAGTTATAGGGGGTGAGCCACTTTTGAGACGCACCCGGTATATTAACATCTGTGTAATTAGTTATATGTAAGTAGCGTATGATCGAAAAAAAACGGCATCCAGTTGGCTTGGAAATTAGGATAGATGACATTCCCAATGTGCAGTTTTTATAGCCATCGCTGACGTTTTTTTTATCATATTGTATTTTTTAGATAAAATCAACTATTATAAATGTAATCTACAATCATTTCATCAATTTGTATAATTTAGTAACACTTATATTAGAATTTATTTCCGCTGCTAACATGAGGTGATTTAAAAATTAATTTAAAACTGTATTAAACAACATCATATCGCATTAAAGAAAAATCTGAATTAAGAAACATTACAATTTATTATTTTAATATAAAAATACATTTTATTGCAACATGTAATAAAGTTAACAATTCCTTAAACTAATAAATCAGATGGTAACAGATATTTGGAACTACAGAGACTAACATCTAAAATAATATCTAGGTATATCTTGCACTTTCCGTTATTTCTATCACCTGGTTGGTTTGACTGTTTTGGTAACTGCAAAAAAATATATAATAATGAATTAGGTATGATTTATTAAACATACTGTGTGTTGCATCGTCGCCCTGAACATTGAAAATCCCATGTAAATTTTGTTAATTTTAATTTAATGATGAATAAATTTTCCCAATTTTATTTTACAGAAAAATTTATTTGAAACTTCTTAAAGAGCTCCTTAAAATGAAGTATATAGTTAGAAGTATAAATTATTCATTATGAATAATTTATACGAATTCATTTTTGAGTTATGGGAGATACAAAAATATTAAATTAATTAAAAAACTTCGTATTTTTGTATCTTTCATAACTCAAAAACAAATTTGTATAAATAATTTAAAATGAAGAATTTGCTTAATTCTAAAGAGTTCTTTAAAAAGTTTCAAAATTTTTTTTCTCTAAGATAAAATGGGAAAAAATTATTCATCATTTTTAAAATTTACATGGGATTTCCTATGTTCAGGTCGATACAACCTTAGATTAAGAATAAAAAGATACAACACGCGATATATTATAATACTAAAATAATTATTTTAGTTTTTTTCTGATAAACCACACATAAAAAAGTATTTAATAAATATTACAAATAAAATGTTGTGAAAATATTCACAGAGCAACAAAATACTAACAAGCTAAATAAGTATACAGGGTGGTAAAAATTTCGATGCTCAACATTGGCATCTCAGAAACTACGAGAGATACGAATTCGGTTAAATTAGAGAAAAGTTGCGTTATTATAAGTTTGACAAACTCCTATAATGAAAACACCGGTATCTTGATTAGTTTCCGACTTATGTAAAAAAATTAAAAAAATGCATTTATTATAAATGACAAATACAAGTTTTCTTCACAGGCCTTTGTCAAACTTCTAATAACGCAACTTTTGTCTCATTTAACCGAATTCGTATCTCTTATAGTTTCCGAAATACTAATATTGAGCATCGAAATTGTCACCACCTTATATAGACTTATTATTATTACGTTAGAACTAATGTTAACGAAGAATTTATGTTAACAATTAACGATATATAATAAGCAACAACTTTCACTTTCAAGAAAAAACGCTTGTCTACATCTGTCATATACGCAGAAGTGGTAAAAAAATACTTTTAATGTCGCTGAACCTGCAAAAATTTTTCTATTAAGTGTCGTAAAATAAAATGATATCTTAAACGTAAAAATTGCAGCATTTCCCTTATTAGCTACAAACGACTTCTAAAGAAAACCCATATAATATTAGGATAGGAACTATCGAATGATTACTAATTATATCGCATGTTTTTATTCGAACACAAACATTCGATTATTGCCACCCAAGCCACCCAAGTCTTTTATGGTATGGAATATAGGTATGTTACCCAAGTATATATGGTATGGGATATGACAATTCCCAGTGGATGACATACCAAGAATGTACAACTTTAAAAAAAATTCAATAATAGTATTGCGTAATAAAAAGAATTGGAAGAGAGAAACGTTTGCTCAACAGTTAAAAGACCATACTATAACGTGGTATACTGTTGTTTCTAAAACCGAAGCAGAAACAGGGATAGAAGTATTTGGGCCGAACCAATGGGCATCTATCTCAGCATCCTTCAGACGGAAATCTTCGCTATTGAAAGATGCGAACAATTTATCTTAGATAGGGACTATCGGAAGCAAGAAATAGCCATTTTATTCGATAGTCAAGTAGCATTAAAAGCGATCAGCTCAGTAACCATTAATTCGAAGCTGGTCAAGGAATGCCTAGAGAAATAAATAAAGTCCTCCTACTCGGGGTGCCAGCCCAATAAGTAATAGAATGTAACGAAAAAGCAAACGATCTAGCTAGAAAAGGAGCAAACAATCCACTAACTGGACCAGAACCGTTTTGCTTCCCAAGTGAAAACCAACTTAAAACGGAACTCAAGAACCTGAAAGACTCTATCCGTCACCTGGAATGGGAATCCGTCTACAGTCTAAGATACTCGAAGAAGTTTCTGGGGACTTACGACCGAAAAAAATCAAATATTTACCTTGATTTAAATAAGAACAATCTTCGGATTGCTACGGGACTTTTAACCGGACACTATCTCCTAAATTAACATCTCAGTAGATTATTGAAGCTAACCAACAACAGCGAATGAAGATTCTGTAGGAAAAATGGGGAAATACCAGAACACCTCATCACTGAGTGCGCCGAGACCAATCGTGCCATAAACTTTCTTACGACTGATATCGGAGAACTAATCTAAACCCTTTCAGATATAGTCTTGTGTCAAAGCACTGAGACCGAATGAGTTATAACTCAAGAAAGCAGGACACAAGAGATCTATAAAGTTGCGGTGATTAACTTTCCCCTTCCCAAACAATTCACAATCTACAAGAGGCATATGTATCACATTAAGAAAGAGGCATGTATACCACTCAGTTTGGCACATATTATGATTACCAAAAAATCTAAAAGTCGGATAAACATATCATAAATGTTTACCTTTTTTTCTCAGTTAAAATATGTATAAAAATATACCTTTTATTGTAACGACTTATAACTTCTCTGTGTGAATTACCACCAGCCCTCATGTGCGTGCGTTTCAATTGGTACGTGCACATGTTCAACGTGATGATGTACTGGAACATGGACTTTTTCGATATGATGGTGATGAACTGGTACATGAATCTTCTCAACGTGATGATGGTGCACTGTATGCACGTGATGAGGAACGATAATTCTCACGTGCTTACTGAAATAAAAACATATTTAATTAAAACATTGACGTAAGTTTATAAATTTAAACACAGTTTGTTGCATTGCTGACCTGAACATATGTAATCCCATGTAAATTAAAAATGATGAATAAGTTTTCCCCATTTTATTTTACAGAAAAATGTATTTCAAACTTTTTGATTTTATACTTCACAAAAGCAACATTGTGAGTAATACAATTGAAGAAGAAAAGATGGTTTAGTAGTATTATAGAAGACAATGTCTACAGGCTGTAAAGGATTTATTTTTTATACATTTTCCAAATAGGCCAGTACAATTATTAAAGATACAGCAGGTTTAGTCGTGACTGACTAAGTTAAGAAAAAACTCAAAATTTAAGTGAGGATGCAGTCAATAATTATCAATCTTTATTGACTGCATCCTCACCATTAGCGTAACTAGCAATTTATCCTGGGGTGGGCCTGGGGTTGAGCCTAGGGGGGGGCATAGAGATTTTGTTTTTTTAAAATGAAAAATAATTTAAAAAAACACATTTTTTGAATAAAACGTTTCATGAATTTCTCTATCAATCAATTTCATAGACTTGGTTATCAAACCGTGTTCCCGTAGATTACTTAAAGACCTACAAATTTTCTAAAAAAATGAAAATTAACAAATTTTTTGCACACAACAAAATAATATTAACTAAACAAAACCAGAAAACGTCATTTTTACTGCATCACAAGCAAATAAAAATTAATCCGTAGTCCGTAGTATTAATCCGAGTCATAATTCAGGATTTCCCTGGGGGTGCCCAGCAGCACCTGGGAGGGGGGGGCCTGGCACCCTCGGGCACCTCTGTAGTTACGCCAATGATCCTCACTCAAATTTTGAGTTATTTGTTATTAAAGACTATAAATGTAAAAAGAGGATTTCCAATAGGAATTAATATTAAGCAACACATACACATACTGCAAATTAAAATTTTAGCATTTTTTTTAAACGATTGAAAAGAATTATTAAAAATAACAAAAAGTATTTTATAAATATCTATTATTATATTTTTTTAAATCCTGTACCTATTATGTCACTCCATTTTCTTGCTAAAGCAAATTAATGAGATGATGAAATAAATAAAGAAAGTGTTCCAAATTATAGGTAAATATAAATGCATACGTGGTATCTTACTTGTAGCTTCTTCTGGTTTGGACAGCTTTATGTAACAAATCTTTAAAACAGAGAGAACCGGTTTAAAAATGAGAAAGCGCAAAATTGTCATTTTATATTTAATTAAATCAAGTGTTGTAAAATAATGTCACTCAATAAAAATGCTAATTTTGGGTGATTTTTTTTAGCTGAAATCGCGTATAAAAAAAGTAGCAAAAATCCAGTAATATAGAAGCATTCCCAAACACAAAATCATAAAAATTTCTCTGCGGAAATGCATAATTTTCTTTTTTCCGACTTTAGAATAACTGAAATCAGTTTCATGAAAACATGTTCCTGCTTTATATTCTAAGTACTTTTCTAAACATAAAGACACAGGGAAATATGCCATTTTCTTCTTAAAATAAAATAGGGTTATCTTTAGAAGAACTGAAATCAGTTACATAAATACACCTTTCTATGCTTCCGTAAGAAGTTTTTTGCGTATTTATGTTTAGAAAAAGCCTAGAATGAAAAACAGAAACGTATTTTCATGTAACTTGTTTCAACTATTCTAAAGTTGAAAAAAATGAAACTTATCTATTTCCGCAAAAAAAAATGTAGTGTCTTTCTGTTTGGCAAGGCTTTTAAATACTAAATAAACAAGTATTTCTTACATAACTGATTTGAGCTAAACCGAAACTTTAGCTCTAATTTTAAGTAACTAATTTTACTTACTGATATCCACCATAACTAGGTGCGCCAAGAGCCATTCCAAAAATAATTGCTAAAACAACGACCTAAAACAAAAGAAAATATTTACAAACCAATAAATTTTTAAAGCACCGTTAAACATTTATTTGCAATACGTGTTAACTTGTTTAATTTTGTCATAAAAATAATGTTGCCACTGTAAATCCCTTAAATAAACACATAGCAATTTGAGCATATTAATTCATTTGAACAGATCTATACTGGGTGTTTCTCAAAAGTTTTTCGGGCCTATAATTTTTTTATTTTCTAAGATAAAAAAACGAGATTTTTGTATGTTAGTATATGACATAAATTAGGATTGTTTGACGTATTCAATTGTTTTCGGTCACTTCTTGTTTCGGGCAACGGCCCAGCTACGTAGGAACACCGGTTCCCATTAGAACACCGAAGTTAAGCGACGTAAGGCGATACTAGTGGATGGACGGGTGACCGGTTCGAAACTATGTATCGTGCTGTTGTCCAATAAAGGCAAAAGTGTAAAATCTATTGACACACACTGCTCATTCACGCCGGTTCGAGGCTGGATGAGATCGGATATCTCGTGAATAAGAGTTGATTTAGACACATTGACCATGATATGGCCGAGGACCGCGGTTCGGGTTCCGCGTAAACAAAGTAGACCCCGTTTAGATTAGCCCTGGCAGCAAAAAGGAGACGTTAACTGAAATCTTTACTTTTTTTTTACTTCTTGTTTCACCGAAATTACTACAACTTATGTTTTTTAAGGGGACCCTCGGTATTTTTTTACTTTGTTCGATAGAAAATGACTGAATAGAATGACATATCATTTGTCAACTTTTAACATTTTCGCTGAAAAAATCGTATTTTTAATTTCAATCTAGAGTGTCAGGGCTGTGTAAAAACAGTAATTTTTCATCAAGGAGCCTTGGAAAAATAGATTTGATCGTCTAATCTTTTTCGTGTCTTGTCTTGGTCAGAACTATCTCAATTTTTTCAAATGGAACTATAGGGTGGCTCATTAGAATATTTAATAAAAGCATTTTTACCAAATAATTTGGTACTACACACTTGGCATTTCCAGTCAAATTGTCGTTATTAACCGCATGTTACAATTTGAAATAAAGCATATGCGAAAATGTGAAAAGTTGACATATGACATGTTATTCTATTTAGAGTGTCATTTTCTATCGAATAAAGTAAAAAAAAATTCTAGAGTATCACTTAAAAATGAAAAGTTGTAGTTATTTTCTGTGAAACAGGAAGTGATTAAAAACAATTGAATACGTCAATTAATCCTGATTCATGTCAAACACTAACGTACAAAATCTCGTTTTTTATCTGAAAAAATAAAAAAAAATTATAGAGATGAGCCACTTTTGAGAAACACCCGGTATACACAAAATATTTTCCGTTTAACAAAAATTTTGAAGGACTATTAATGGTGATGGTTTAATTATTGTATTTATCCTTTTCTTTAATTTAATAATAATAAAGTTGTTATCAACTGTTAATACTCTAAATAAAATATTATATACTAGGAATTTAACATATAATTTGTTGTATCAAGTGATTCTATGCAGGGTGTTTAAAAAAACATGTGCCATCTCTCATGATTCCTAACAAAAGTGGCTTAATAATAACATCTTTTTTGAAATCGACAAAATATCAAAATACAAGCCTACACAATTCTGCTAACAACAGAAAAGAAAGTCAGTGGCGCACATACCTTTTTTAGAAAAATATTCCAGAGATAACCCATATGCACATCTCTGGTAAATATGTCGAGACTTTTTTAGCATTAAAATACCTATGTCCAACATATAGTAACTTTTATCCTAAAAATTTCATTCCAATCATTAAAAGATTTTTTGATATAAAAAATAAATCTTATTTTTATGTGGGGAATCTCCACACGAGAGATGGCGCATGTTTTTTAAAATATCCTGTATACAATAAAAAACAATTTATTTAACATACGCAGGGAAATTTAAATTTCCTTAAAGTGAAAGTTTGACAAAATAAGGGGTAGTTAATTTTGAAATATGCGTGACGAGTACCAATTTACCTTCGCAATTTATTTGATTCTACTAGCATACCTATTAATTGCAATTTCTACCTATTGAAACTTTTACAAAAACCAGGATGTACGTAGGTAATCATTTAACTTTACTACAGAAGCGTGAATAAAAAATATATAGCTGAAGCTCTTCCGATATCGGCATAATTTTTATCAAATTTATAGACAAATGGAGTTATTCAAATAGATACCATATGATCGAAAAAAAAAACGGCGTCAAAGACGGCTGGGCACGACAATCTATGTTAATTTTGTCGAGGTCAACCATTAGCTGTCTTTACTTGGCCCGTACTCTTCTTTATTTTTTAATAGCGCTGACTGCCAGTTGGCCTTAAGAAAATTGTATTTGAGTAAAAATGATTTTTAAATGTAGTGTGTAGTTTAAAATTCGAGAAAACATTTTTTTTGAAAACAGATTTGTGTGTCTGGAAACGTTCTATCCTTTTTTTAATATATGGTTTAATTTTTTTTATTTTTTTAGAATTCCAACAGGAACAGTTATTAAAGACTAAATACCGAGTGCGTCTCACCCCTACTTTGTTATTTTTTTCAGATAAAAAAATGAGATTTGATATGTTAGTATATGACATAAATTGGGATTGATTGACGTATTCAATTGTTTTTGGTCACTTCCTGTTTCACCGGAAATAACTACTTACAACTTTTGATTTTTAAATGGCACCCTCGGTATTTTTTACTTTATTTGATAGAAAATGATATTCTGAATAGAATGGCATATCATATGTCAACTTTTGACATTCTCGCTTAATAAAAAACAGCATTTTACATTTCAATCTAGAGTGCCATCACTATGTTAAAAACACTAATTCTTAATCAAGGAGCTTTGGAAAAATAGATTTGATCGTCTAATATTTTTAGTGTCTTGTCCTGGCCGGTTAAAAGATGCCCAAATCGTATTTTTGATCATATCTCAATTTTTTCAAATGGAATGAGGGTGGCTCATTAGCATATTTGGCAAACATAAGTTATATATGTATGCATAACCGTAAGTTATAATTTCAAATAAACCATATGCAAAAATGTCAGAAGCTGACATATGATATGTCATTCTATTCAGAGTATTATTTTCTATCGAATAAAGTAAAAAAAATACCTAGGGTGTCATTTAAAAATCAAAAGTTGTAGTAATTTCCGGTGAAACAGGAAGTTGAAACAATTGAATACGTCAATCAATCCTAATTTATGTCATATACTAACATACCAAATCTCGTTTTTTTAACTAAAAAAATAAAATAGTTATAGGGGTGAGCCATTTTTGAGACGCTATAAAAAGGAGAATAATATTGCTAAGGATTATGGAGAAAAATTAAATCAAAATTAATTAAATATTCTGTTACAAGTGGAAGATGGAAAACAAGTATCTAAGTATCAAAATACTTCGAGAAATAGTTAAAACACATTAGATCACTGCTTAGCGCATTTAGAAGAAACATACTTTTTGAAAAAGACATTTAAATAAATCCGAACACTATTAATTATAATTATTGGACAGGATGAAAAATGTAGGTCAAATTTTTTCCATTTTATAATTAAGAAGTACTTAATTTTGTGAATTGATTAGTGTTTAATAAACAATTTTTTTTGAAGCAGGGTGTTTACTTATGTACGAAATATATTTGATTTTTTAAAGGTTCTGTTATGTTTACAGTGTACTTTTTGTAGCTTTTCATAGAGAATAAAACGTACGATTTTTTGACAGAACTCTGTAGAAGAAAATCATAATAGATTTTTCATATTGTGAAATAACCTGTGATTGTTATGTTTGTTTGACTAGGACTGGATTATTTTAATTTTTTTTCCTAATTTAGTATTATTGTATCTGTCATAACTCAAAACCGTATTTGTCTAAATTATTCAAAATGTAAAATTTGCTTTAATTTAAGGAGTTCTTTAAAAAGTTTCAATTTTTTTAATTTTTTTTTGTAAAATAAGATGGGAAAAATTTATTCATCATTTTCAAAATTTACTTGGAATTTTGTATGTCCAGGTTGACGATTCAACACACGGTATATTCAAATTTTATTAATCTATACTTACAATAGCCTTGAATGAAATCATATTTACAAGATGGAGTTCACAAAAGTAAGTCACCAAAACACCCAAACGTTACACATCTGATATGGGACGGCAGTTTTATTTATATACGCCCGATGTAGATCCACCCTACTCTCCACGCCCGATTACATAAAGAAAAAATGTCGTCTTCAGTAAAAATGAAATTTCACAAGGGTTCACAAACCAGTGCAAATGTGGTAATCCTTGTTTAATGTGCCGACTGATATCAATAGTGACGGAAACTATCTGAATGTATAATTTTACACCTGTGTTACAAATTCACGTACTAAACGTACAACTTGAATCATATATATTGTTGAAAAAACTAAGGCAATGATAGCATTTACAAAATTTTAATACCTAAATCATTTATTCGGTATTCTTCGCAAACTATTTTTTTTCCACAAACAAAATATTTGAAATTATCATAACATTTAATATACTTTGGCATAAAACTTGTTAAAAATTAACACTAACTATAGGCAGATTAAAAATGGATAGTTTCCAGACACAAAAATTAAATTCAAAAACATTTTTTTTCCAATTTTAGACTACACCATTTAAAAATCATTTTTACTCAATATAAAAAAAAATTGGCGTCGGGAGGCACGTATAGCCGCCCATACTAATATATGTTAATAAAAAGTTGGTAAGCAGTTCTTTTAGATTCGAAGTAAAGGAATTTTTCCAATTTTGGTCCGCGGTTATTTCTCCTATCCGCCACCTCGGGTTGCGTCCGATGGGAGTTTGGAGTTCTCAACACGGATTTTCTTTTTTTTTAAATATAAGTTTTATATATTTTTTTGAGATTTTTTATATATTTTTTTAAATTTTTATTAACTTACTATTATTTTTATTAACTGTAGTAGCACTTTGATATTATCTTAAGTTTTGTTTAAAATATATTTCCGTACATAAAAGTGAAAACCGCCTTTTACTAGCTGTTTTGAGTTATAATTTTTTAAACAATATTTTTTTATCTCAAAAACTGCGACTTTGACTTATTTTGATGTTATTACAAATTTTGCTGCAAATATTATTCCTAATCTTAAATTGAAAACCGCCTTTCGCTAGCTACTGTAATTTTGTAGTTACGATTTTTTAAAACTTTTAACCCCCTTCCATACACCCTTACCAACGCCCCACCCCCACCAAAAACTAATGGTCGGATTCTCGGGTGCCACAATATTTTTGTGCCAAATTTGGTTAAAATCGGTTTAGCGGTTTTTGAGTTATCGTGTTACAGACAGACGGACAGACAGACACCATGAAAATATTTTGTATTTAGGTCATTTATGACCCAAATAACTCATTTTGAGTGAAATTAAAAACACTTCTTTTTGCCGATCTCAATAGCCTACCTGTTGGTATGGTCGGCTAATAAATTACAACCTACTTAAGCTGACAGTAAGCGCAATTAACAAATATAGAAAAGTACGAGCCAAGTAAACGACGTGTAGGGCTTGACCGCGCCAAAATTATCATCGATTTTCATTGCTCAGCCCTCTTTGACGCCGTTTTCTTCGATCGTATGGTGTAGTACGTAGCACAATTTAATTAATAAATATCAAATAGAATTATATCATACTATTTAATGATTTTCCGACCTCTGGATCACGCTTTGATCTTTTTCAAGGGACTGCGATATAGTCTTAATTTTTAAATATGGTTTTATTACAATAAAAATAAATTACAAAAAAATACAAAGAAATATATTAATTAGTGTTAAAATATATTTTTTTTAAATTGGTCAATGATGCTAAATTTTTAATAGAATTGTCTAAACTAAACCATTTTCTAACCTAGACAGTGTTCGGAAGGCGACAAGATTCATAACAACATATACAGGGTGTTTCAAAAAACATGTCCCATCTCTCGTGGGGAGATTCCTCACGTAAAAATAAGATTTATTTTTCATATCAACATAAATCCGATTCTGCTTCGTTTCGTAACTACAGGGGGGTGTTTATTAAAGTCTTAATATTTTTTCGATTAATTATAATTTTCTTCTATGTACTTTTAGCGTTTTGAATGAAATTTTGACGGTAAAAGTTACTATAAATGCGACATATTTCAAAGCTAAAAAAGTGTCGACGTATTCACCAGGGACGCGAAGATGGGTTATCACTGGAATATTTTTCTTAAAAAATCATGTACGCCACTGTTGCCAACATTATTCTCTTGTTAGCAAAATAGTGTAAGCAGTTTAATGCCGATTAAAAGTTGTCTCTTGATATTTTGTCGATTTCGGCCTTCTTGATTTTATAATATTGGCAAATTATTAAGTACTTATTGATTCCTCATCAAAAAATTTGAAAAAAAGTTCCTATAAACACGGGTATGGAAATGCATAGTTTTAGGGTTACAGGATGCTAAAACTTTTTAAAATTAGGTTTTTAGCGAGAGATGGCACATGTTTTTTGAAACACCCTCTATAAAATGTAAAAATATACAAAATCAAACTACAAAAAGAAGAATAGACGAGGAGTGCATTCTGTCACCCGTTAATGAACAATATTCACATTATTATATTTTATTTATTTTATATATTATTTCTTAGTGAATTTAATATATTTTGTCCCATTTTAAAATAACACTAATGTTGCATTTATTAATCTTCTGGTGTATTTGTATCGTATGATCGAAAAAAAAAACGGCGTCCAGTTGGCTTGGAAATGAACATCGTTGACATTCCCCATATAATTTTACGTATAAAATGACAGCGATCTTCACTTCATAGCCATCGCTGACGCCGTTTTTATTCGATCATACGGTATTAACGTGTTGATAGCAGGAAATTTGTTTGCCAGGTTACTATTGTATTAAATGACCTGTTTATAACTTGACAGTGGTTGTCAATCGAGTTCAGTTTTTAAAAAAATCTCCTTTCTCAAGAGTTCGGCAAACGTGTTTCTATTAAAATGGAAGAAATATTAAAAAGAACTGAAGAAGCACGGCAAGCGTTACTTCCACTCCACCTAAAAGAGGAAAAATCATTTACCCAATGTCGATGAAACAATTCCCTTGTAAATTTATCATACGTGACATTAATGATGTAAATAAATTATTAGACTAGTTAGATGAGTGTTCATTTTCATTTTATATTATTACTCAAAATCTTGTTTGTATTTCATAGTTATTGCCTATAAAACGGTAGAGGTAATTATAGCATCTTAATTCTCGTTAATATTGTCGTAAGTTCTGAGTTAAGGTTAGCCTAGCCAAGACGATATAAGCTTACCTATATTAATTCAGTAAGAAATAAAACAATTAGCTCCGCATATTCGCCCCTAATTGAAGGGTACTTTTTTGACAAAGTGGGGTGCGACTTTTTTTTGTAACACCCTATACAGCCGAACTATCAAGTTTACATAAATAAAAAATACCAGATTCGGATTCGTCATGTCAAAATCACCCTAGAAACATAATTTTATATCTACAGTAGGGGTACGCCGTCGTTAATGTGTTAATTAACTTGAGCAGGAATCTTCTAAGATATTATTTTTTTTAATCTGCCAATCCTACATTTTAAATAATAGAATTGTCTGAACTAAACCTGGCTGTAAAATGGTTTAGTATGAATTAATATATTTTTGTTTTTCTGTAATATATTAAGGAACATATAATTCGGTCATTTAATAGTATATTTTATTCAAACGATAACAGGTAATATAGTAAAAATATTACAAACAACAAAACTATAATACATAATATATCAATTTTATTAACAAAAACTAAAATAAATAAAAATAGTACTAATAAATATAATACTTAAGATTTATCCTTAGATTTGGGCCGTCGAGAATAATTTACAATTTTTGTCTTTTTAAATTTAGTAGATTTAGATGCAGTTGCTGGTGGTCGAACGTATCGTTTTTTCTTATAGACATTGGTACTCTCGGCAAAGTCATATTCGTCATCTTTTATCGAGACAGCATGATGTTCAGTTTTTGGTGCTTCTTTTTCAATCACGATTTTTTCCTTTTCGTGGAAATGGTGATGGTGTTCCGGAACTTTGATGATTTTAGTATGGTAAACGGTTTTAATTTTTTGTGGAACGTGGATACGATGATGAACACTAAAACAAATAAATAAGTAATATTAGGTGTTATGATATTGCCATAATTATTGTTCTTGGCTCAACTTTCGTTTAGCTGAGAGAGATTAGAAGAAATATTTGTTTATTTAGTATTTGGAAGCCTTTGCAAATAGAAAATCTCGAAGAAATTTCTGCGGAAATTCTTGATTATTCTAGATATTTTTCAAAACATTAACACGCAAGAAACTCCTTTCGGAAGTGTACCATTTTCATTTGTTGATAAAATATTGTAAAATATAGCAAGCAGTTCAACAGTTTTATTCATGTCGTCGAGAGTCTCTCTTTTTTAAGTTAGGTTAATGTCTAGCTATATAGCTCTAGCAATCAAAACACATTTACAGCATGTTTTGATTGCTTTGGTTTCACTCTTTTGTATTTTAAAGAATACCTAGAGAAGCTGAACAAATTAGGCAAAGTAAAATCCTACTACACTGGGTGCCAGCCCAACAAGGAATAAAAGGCAATTAAAAAACAAACGATCTAGCTAGAAAAAGAGCGAACACTCCACTAACTGGTCCAGAACCGTTCTGTTTCTCAAGTGGAAATCAACTTAAAACGGAACTCTAGCACCTGAAATGCATCCTTGACTTGGAATGGGAATCCTCCAAGGGTCTAAGACAATCAAAGAACTTTCTCAGAACTTACGAAAATATAATTAAATCAATCATTACTTAACTTTCAAAGGCCAAAATGATATTACTCGCAAATTTTAAGGTATAATATAATAAGTGGAAAAAGTTAAAGGTTTATTAACTTTTTCTATTAACTAAATTTACTAATTTTGAGGTTCTGAATGCTTACATTGAAATTAGGGTAACAAACTTCTACGCTAATTGAAACCACTAATTTAGAACCTTTAGAGGTTCTGAATGCAGCTTTAATCCTGACGTGATGAAAGCCCGTCATTCTATATATTATACAATACCCACTAGTTGAAATGATAAATTACTCTTGTATTATAAATGAACTAAAGAAAGTTAATGTTAAACGAGAGATATTTGTATTAAATTAAAAAAAATATTCGCATATATAAAAAACGGATGAGCTGACAGGCTATGATACAGGTTGTAGGTATACTCGAATACCATATGTTGCAGTAACTTGTGTTTATTTGGTATAGGAGGTATTTAAATGCCATACATAATCTTTACTGGGATCTCCGATGTTGTTTAAAGCCGGAAATCACTTTCACTTCAAGTTTACGTACTTGGCAGAATATCATGAAAATTCTCTTGGGTTTATTGGTCAATATCACGGTTTATTGCATATACAGGGTGTTTCAAAAAACAGCCATCTCTAGTGAGGAGAGTTCAAAATTGTCACCACCCTGTATATACTTATTTTAATATCAAGTGTATTTTTATTAGGTAAATTTCAGTACAGAACTATTCTGATGTGTATTTCAAACCTAAATACGTTATTTTACTTAAATCAAATATTTTTATTTTTTTATGGTACTGAGGTTGTTTTCAAAATTTTTCATTTATAATTTTATTGTTTACTAATGTTACTGCTACATTTGCAGATGATACAACAATTAGAGATACCGCAGACAACAATACTACGTTAACCGAAAAGTTACAAACTGCTGTTGCCGAAATACAATGCCTGACAGCAAAATGGCGCATTAAACTGAAAAAAAAATAGATATTGATTTCACTAATAGACGATCCAGTATATATAAATGAACAAGTAGTTCCTTACGAAAATACAACTAAATATCTTGGCATGACATTTGATGCTAAACTCAGGTGAAAATCGTCTGTGAAGAAAACATGTGAAGAACTCAAATTAAAGCACAGTAAGATGTCCTGGTTTCTAGAGCAGTATTCAAGCCTCTCAATATATAATAAGATTTTGCCCTATTAACAAGTCCTGAAACCAATATGGTATTCATCTCTGGAGTTGTATCAACAACGAACAAAGCAACCGAAATGTTATCCAAATTTTCTAAAACAAGGTACTACGAGGTACTGTTGACGCACCGTAATACATTCTCAAATCTCATTCGAGAATCTACATAAGGACTTAGAAGTCACAAAATATGCTTAAGACACGAAGAGAGGCTCCATCAGCACATCAACATCGAGGTTCTCCAGCTCCTAGATAGCGATGGCTTGGTTAGAAGACAAAACAATAAAACCATTTGAACTAGTGATAGTGTAGTGGAAAAATGTTACTACAGCCCAGTGCATCCTAAGCTAAACAGAACCGAAACCAAAATTACTATCTTCGGATTAATGTTTTTTATTTTAACCGTAATTCAAAAAGTAATAGCTTGTTAGTGTAATTTTACTAGATTGTTATACTAAATTGCCTAAGGGTGATTTTAAATTTAGATTTATTAGAGAGGATACTTACTGATGGACGCTACCTCCTGGCGCTGGAAGGCATTCTGTTGTTGAAAATACGACAGTCAATGAAAAAAACAAGACCTAGAAGAAAAAATGTGTATAATTACTCTCAGAAATATCTATAAGCTAAAATTCGTTAGCTACGGTTAATTATTAAATATGTAACTACATTTAAATTAAAAATATATATTTTAAATTGTTTTTTCTTTATTCTTTATTTTTTTCTTCTTTCGGTGGCGGGAAAAGAGATATACCTCCTGAAACATTTTGTTTTATTTGTACAATACTGCTGACAACTTGGTCTCCGATGGTTCAAAAAACGTGTTTATAAAAAATAACTATTTTATTTTGGAGATTTTTTTACAGTGGCTTTGATACCCAGAAGACCTTTTTGAAGGAATATAATACTATTAAAACAAAATCAACATGTTAATAATTATTTATAAATTCATGTTTCAAAATGCCGAAAGATATGACCTGTGATATGACTTTATAGAATACCTATCAGATGATATTTTAAAATATTATGCAATTAACAAAATCAAGTAAAATATTCATTATATATTAGGTAAATTATGTGTTTATATTAACTAATACGAAATATATATATTTGTATAAAAAATGCACACAATATCTAGGACTAATAAATATTCAAAAAGCTGTATTACTCCATACTAGGTGTTTCAAAAAACATGTGCAATCCCTCGTGGGGAGATTCCTCATCTAAAAATAAGATTTATTTTTCATATCAACATAGATCCGATTCTGCTTCGTTTCGTAGCTACAGTCTTAATATTTTTTCGATTAATTATAATTTTCTTCCAAGTACTTTTAGCGATTCGAATGAAATTCTAGGAGTAAAAGTTACTAACATATGCAAGGCTATAAGTGTTACATATTTTAGTATTAAAAAAGTGTCGACATCACCAGTGACGTGCATATGGTCGTACACTGGCGAATCTGTAAAAAAAACATGGGGCCCACTGACTTTTGTATGAAGTTGTATCATGATATTTTGTTGATTTCGATCTCCTTGAGATACAGGCAGTTTTATTAATCACAATAGTTAATAAAATTAAAATAAAATTTTTAAATTATTTATTTTATCACTAAATTTTATTAAAATTTATAATAGTTATGTTCAGTGCTATATACCTACAACAAATTCAAGCAAAAAAAATGGTATTTAAAAGAATTACAAAAGAAAATTTTTTTAAAAGTATATCCATGAACCATAATATTAACCATTAACATTAAGCATTAACCATTAACATTGATCATTAACCATTAACAACATTAACCATATATATCTAGTATCTTTAAAATGATGTATTTCCGCACACATGTTTATAGAAACTTTTTTCATATTTTTTATAAGGGATCAATGAGTAACACTTTATCCAGTTAATGACATTAATTTTTTTTTAAAATTGCTATTAATCTTGGACCTTGGCAAATTAATAAAATTATGTTTAGCTCATCAAGGAGACTGAAATCAAAAAAATATAAAAAAAGACAACTTTTAATAGGCATTAAATGGCCTACACAAATGAGCTAACAAGAGAAAAAAAGTCAGTGGCGCGCATTTTTTTTTAGAAAAATATTACAGCGATAACCCACATGCACGTCCCTGGTGAATACGTCGACACTTTATAAGCACCAAAATATGTCGAACTTATAGTAACATTTACCCTCAAAATTTCATTCGAATCGCTAAAAGAACTTGTAAAAAATATAATAAATCGAGAAAAAAAGACTTTCATCTCCTGTAGTTACGAAACAAAACAGAATCTGCTCTATGTTGACATAAGAGATAAATCTTATTTTTACATGAGGAATCCCTCTCTTTTGAAACACCCTGTATAAAATTAAATATGAATTGAAACTTATAGAATCAGTATTAAAGGTGACCCGTAAAAATATATAGTAAAATATACATGCCAATTTTAGTTGACAGAGATAAACATCAAGAATATGCAAAATAGTGGCAAAAAAGGTACTCACGTTGTAAAACGCCATGTTTGCATGAAAAATTCAGCACTGATGATAATGAAACAGGCAGCCGACGATTTCTACCTATTACCAGGAGAAACGTTTCTTCTTACTTTCCTATATATTATTTCGGAAGTAGTTTTATAGTGGGGCAACATGAATTGGTTAAATACTACAACAATTTTTTAACATTTTAATTAATTTAATTTTAATAATAGACATAAGAAAAAAAACGTCGAAAACAAACCATATGTAGGTGTTTTTGGTGGCGAGAAAGCGTTTGCAAAACAATGTTTCCTATGAGGAACGTACGTTCCCATTCTTGAGGCAGAAAACAAGATTCACCATAGATTTTCTCCATATAAAGCAAACACTTGTTTACATGGCAATATTAAAATAATACAGGTTTCTCTGTTAATTGTTGCATGTTTCATTACTATATCGTATGATCGAGAAAAAAAAAAACGGCGTCATGGTGACCTTTGAAATTGCAAACCATGATAATTTTTATTGGGCCGATATATAAGAATCGGATGCATATAGAAATGTAATATTTAAGAAAAAAACAGAGAACTGCGAGTCGGACTCGCCTACTCAGGGTTCCGTACAAATTTATTTTTTTTTTTATTTTTTTTTTAGTAAGTAAGTACATTATTATAAATAGTTCAGGTATCAAGTCTCGCAGTTTTTTCAGAGCTTTTTCAGATCAGTTTTCAAATCTATGATTACTTTGTGGAAATTGTGGTTACACTATCAGTTCATACCTAAATTAGTTTTAGTCCTAATAAGTCTTATATTATTTATTATATATTATATAAAGTGGCTCACCCCTATAACTTTTTATTTTTTCAGATAAAAAAACGAGATTTGGTATGTTAGTATATGACATAAATTAGGATTGATTGGTGTTTTCATTTGTTTTTGGTCACTTCCGGTTTCACCGGAAATGACTACAACTTTAGATTTTTAAATGGCACCCCCGGTATTTTTTTACTTTATTGGAGAGAAAAGGACATTCTGAATAGAATGACATATCATTTGTCAACTTTTGACATTTTCGCTTAATGAAAAATTGTATTTTAAAATTCAATCTAGAGTCCCATGACTATGTTAAAAACACTATTTCTTCATCAAGGAGCTTTGGAAAAATAAATTTGATCGTCTAATGTTTGTAGTGTCTTGTCCTGGCCAGTTAGAAAATGCTCAAATCGTATTTTTAATCATATCTCAATTTTTTCAAATAGAACGAAGGTGGCAACATATTTGGAAAAAGCATTTTTTTACGAATAATTTGATACCACACACTTGGTATTTCGAGTCAAATTTTCGTTACGAACCGCAAGTTATAAATTCAAATAAACCATATGCAAAAATGTCAAAAGTTGACATATGATATGTCATTCTATTCAGAGTGACATTTTCTATCGAATAAAGTAAAAAAAATACATCGTGTTATTTAAAAACCAAAAGTTGTAGTCATTTCCTGTGAAACCGGAAGTGACCGAAAACAATTGAATACGTCAATCAATCATAATTTATGTCATATACCCATATGCCACATCTCGTTTTTTTTAACTAAAAAAATTAAATAATTATAGGGGTGAGCCACTTTTGAGACTCACCCGGTATAGTGTATCACAGAAAATTAAATTTTAATCTTGAGTTTTAAAAAAATGCTTAAATATGCATAAACTTTTTTTGTATCTGTAATTGAGGTTAAAGGTTCCTTAAAAGAAACATAAAAATATTTACTGCCACTAGGCGCCCCTTTGGAAAATATACAAGGTGGCTCCTTAGTGCGAGAAAGTCCAATATCGTCGTTGTTGACAACGATATGAAAAGGAGTTCTATACAGATATAGTATGGTTTAAAATAGTGCATATCCTAAAAAATATTTTGTTTGTCCCAAAAAAGGCTATGATAAAGCTTTAAGTTTTTTTAAATTGCACCCCCAATTTTCCTGTACATAATTGTATATATATATATATATATATATATATATATAGCAACATTTTGCATATAATACCTCATCTTCATCTGATTCACGTAAAATATACAGGGTATATACCGGTCCATTTAAATTAAACAAGTTATTGCCGTTTAAAGTTAATAATTATTTAAAATACATTTATAGACACTCTGTATGAGATCGTATTATTTTTATTATTGCAACACAAAATCTAGTAGATACAAAAGCTTCAATACAATATTTGGATTTAAAAACATAAAAACATGCCTAGTGAAATAAAGCATTAAAATTGTTAGTGCTTTTTCACAAAATCGTAAATATTTCAAAAATGAAAAGATGAAAATGCGGTAAACCTTAATTAAATTACGTTTATTTTAATCGTAAAAACTAAAAATGTAATAATATACACGGACCCATATAGGGGAGTATACCACTTAAAAAATATTTTTTATTTATTTGGGACACTCTGTACGTTTTGCAAATAATTTTAAAGTGTAGCTTTAGTGGTCCATCAACAATCCTATCACTCATAATACAAATCTAATTATTTGGCTACAATACGCCGTGTTGAATAGCGTTAACAACCCTGTATATTTTTTAACTGATAGCTAATGTCAGGCAATTTTTCTACTAAACAATAAATATGGCAAATGAAATACTGTCAATTAGTGGCCGAAGTTAATAGTATAAGAAATATCTCACAAGTAAGTTGGTAAAAATCATCCATGCAATTAGGAAATACTGTATTTAGTATTATATCCATCTTGAGTTCTTGGAAAAATAAAATTTGGGACTACAATTAAATACTTAATGGTCATTTCTCCTCAAAAGAAAATGAAAATTATCCAAATCAGACCATTACTTCTAAAAAAAAGCAAATGTCTATATTTCCATATACCTCGATCCACTGTGCGCCGCGCCGTCCCTCGCTTAAAGATCCTGTTTTTTGTGAATTAATTAAAAACATACGGCCTCAGATGTATCACTTCTGCACAAATTAGTAAATGTTTAAAAAAAAATTACAAAAATATTTCCTCACTCATAAAATTATGACCGCGCATACCGTTGTTTAACCTCGGTGATTGATTACGTATTTTAATAAAGACTATATTTTTCATAATTTAATTACGAATTATTTTTATGATTTTATTAATCTCTCTTTATAACCTCTCTGCCCTCCTCAAGCTCAAGGTCCACCTTCGGAGACTTTAGAAACAAATCAACCCAAGTATAGAGAAATAGTTTAGAGCCATATTAGAAAACTTTAGGAATTTCTTTTCACCGATAAGTCTAGTTAATTTTGTGATGCGTTCATAATTAATTTTAGAAAGTTTTAGATGTTACAGACACTATAAAATATTTTATTGCTGGTTTTTGTTGATGGTGCTTATTTTAATTGGCATTAAAATGTGTTTCACAAGCTTCGTAGACTGCAGTAGAAAATGATATCTCTTTAACATTCTTCTTAATAGGTATAAGTAAAATAGTAGCCTTAAATATTAAACAAGGGTAGATTGTAGATTGTGTTGGGGAGGAGAAGTTAATCACAGCGACATTATAGATCTATTGTATCCCCCTTTCAACAACTCATCATACATTCTCAGGGTTTTGACAAAAGCTAGTATCAGAGACGTTTTTACGGCTATTAGTTCTCCATCCAGATTCAGTCTTATCGAAGTTTATAGCACGAATCGTTGTCTAGCCGAGAGTAATGAGGTGCTCTGTTGTTTCCCCATTTTCCTTACAAAATCTGCATTCGCCGTTGTTTCTTAGCTTCAGTCTACTGAGGTGTTTATTGTGGAGAGCGTGATGTGAAAAAGCTCGTGACAATCCGAAGATTTTTCTTACTTAAATCTTGAAAAATATTTAAATTTTTCTCGGTCGTAAGTCTGAGAAATTTCTTCGAGTGTCTTAGACCGTTGGAGGAAAACTTCAGGGTACGGATGGAGTACCTAGATTCTTCCGTATCGCTTTAAGTTAGTTTCCACTTGGAAAACAGAACGGTTTTGGTCCAGTTAGAGGAGTATTCGTTCCTTTTCCAGCTAGATCCTTTGCTTTTTTATTACCTGTTATCTCTTATTGGGCTGGCACCCAGAGCAGAAGGACTTTATTTTCTTTGCTTAATTTGTCGAACTTCTCTAGGCATTCTTTGACCAATTGATGGTTACTGAGTTAACACAACACAAAAAATTAGTAAGAAAAAGTGGTAAATATTTTTTACCGCTTTAATTAGTTTTTGATACTTTTAATTAACGATTGTCCTTTAAACTTTGCTTTGTTTTTTTACTCTTATATTAAACACATTATTACTTTGTTCTCCTTTTAATTTGCCAAATAAAACACTAATTCACCACAATACACCAACATTGTTAGCGAAACGCGCGTCCAGTGCAAAAGTAAATTGTTTGGTGCCACAATACACCAAACAATTTACTTAATTGTTGAATTAGTTTTTTATTTTGCTGTTTAGTACCAAAGGTTCCAACCCTCAACTGTAATTTTAATTTTTGCCTGAAATTTACAGTTTTTTTTTAATCTATCTTTCTTCTAAAATTTCATTTACTTTAGCCATTCTCAATATTACTAAACTATTTCATCCTTTGATTTTTCTTTTTATTAATTTATTTATTAATTTCTATTGCAAGATTTGATCCTAAACTTCTAATTTCTCCCGCATGTTGTGATATATCTACGTTGTTGCTGAACGCACATTTTGCTAACTATGTTCAGCATCATCAGCAGATGAAATCAATTGGTTTTGACTCGCTTGGTTAATTTTATCACCCTTGGTCAGTACCAACCTTGCGCCTATATTACTCAATTTGCAGATTTTGTTTAGTTTTAATCATCTACTGTTGATGCTAACATAGTTATTGAAATGCGCGTACAGTGTTAAAAGTAAAGTGTTTTAGTGTATTGTGGTGAACTAGTGTTTTATTTTGCTGTTGTAACATCAAAGGTTCCATCCTATAACTGTAATATAGGTAAGAAAAATATGCTAGGTATGTCTATCAGGAATATTAAAATAAGGTTAATAAAACTAATTCTTATAATTGTTTCTTTCATTTTATTTTTGTATAACAATAACAATATTTACAATTAGCTGTTAACAATAAATCACTATCATATATCTAATATTTATGTACACAAATCTTATATATCGACAATATGAAATTATAAACAGTCAAGCACGAAGAGATAATAGTATTAATAAAGTAGCATTGATCAGTAGCATAGATAGTATCAGGTTTCATCAGTAAATCCAAAAGTAATTTTTAATAACATATACATTATGTATATACCGGGTGGTGCATCGGCATTGGAAACATAGGAAATCCCATGAAAATTATCTTAAACTGTTCATATATTGGGTCCACTGTTAATTTTACAACTAAGCCATAAATGTTTTTTTTATAGGACTGCGCATGTTAAATACACATACCAAAGAAACAGGGGGCCAAATATTTGAATAGTTCAAAATTTACATGGGATACCCTAGGTTTCCAACGACGATTCAATATCCAGTACATACATTTATCGAACACTATTTTATATTGAAAATTGATGAAGTTGAAGAGAATATAAATACTGAAATGGTAAGAATAATATATGTATAAGTTATCATTATCTCTTCTTGTCCCAACCGCCGCCATGTCCACCTCCGCCGCCTCCTCCGTAACCTCCTCCCCCTCCATATCCTCCGCCTCCTCCAAAGCCGCCTCCTAAAAGTTCAAAATATATTTAAAGTAAATTTGTAGTTAGTTGGTTTAGTTTAAGGCTTCATTCAGAACCTCGAAATTAGTGGAATAAATTAGAGGTTTCAATTAGCGTAGAAGTTTTTTCATCTAATTTCAATGTAAACATTTAGAAAATCAAAATTAGTGGTATTAATTTTCAATTAGTAGAAAAAGTTTTAACTTTTTCCACCAAACAATTATTGATGTTTTTTATAGGATCAAATAATGGATATGGATATAGAGAATATGTGGTTCCAACAAGACGGTGCGACATGTCATACAACAGGTGAAACATTGATTTTATTGCGTACACAGTTTAGAGAGAGTCTTATCTCCAGGAATGGGGACGTAAGTTGTCCACCAAGAACGGGACTAGATTATTTTTGTGGGGCAATGTAAAAAGCAAAGCTTACGAAAACAACCCGAAAACCATTCAACAATTGAAAGAAGAAATTAGGGGAATAATTCGTAACATAACTCAAAAAAAGAATTGTGTGCTGCCAGAGTAGTCGTGATGGCCATTTGGCAGATATTGTGTTCCACGTATAATTGTACTCTGTCCAGCTACGCACTGCCATAAATAACTTTGGTACGACTGATATCGGAGATGGAGAACTAACGTCTGTAAAATCGACTGTTTACTACGCCTTGACTGCAATGACTAACGCCTTTACTACAGCAAGTTATTGCCAGAAATTCTATTAATTTTAGTTGTATTTTGAGACATTGTGAATGATGTTATATTCTTAAGTATAAAGTATTATCGAAAACACTAATTTATTCTAAGAATTTCGAGGTTCTGAAAGAGGCTTTAGGCTTAATTTAGACAATTTGTGCCAAAAATGCCGACAAAAGCAGTACCGAAATTAAAAGTTCCAAATTATTTCAACTGCCTTTGGAAATCCTTTACATTAGTATATAATAATTGCAGATTAACATTCGGAGCTCTTACCTCCTCCGGTTCCTCCACCACCGTGATGACTGTCAAATCCGCCTCCACCATATCCACCTCCGCCACCTCCGCCATAACCACCTCCGCCGTGATGATCGTCACCTGTAAATATTAACGTGTTAATTGAATAGGTATCTTATCTACTAATTTAATTTTAAATTTTTAATTGTGACATATTTCTAATTATTTAATGAGCTTAATATATTAATATTAAACTAAAAAATATTAATAAAAGTGATAGTATAGTTTATTATTGATATTTAATTTTAATCTATAAAAACCGATTTTTAAAAATTGGGGGTAAAAATTTGTATCTATATCTTTTTAAATCACTCCTATATGAATATGAATATTTGCACAGAGGTTCCACGAAAATGGGTATTCAGAAAATATTTTTGAAAATTAATCCTCTAAAAGGGCAAAACTAAGGATGACAATTAGTACAAAAAATTATTATAATCGCATTTAGGGTTTTTTCGCTAAAATTTAAAGAGTTTATATAACATAATTGAGCACTGAGGACGAATTCTGGAAATTCGCCCCATAAAGGCGTTAAATGAGGGGGTAAATATTGTAAGTATAAAAAATTTAAATCTGTCTTAGAAATGTGAAATTTTGCACAGATCACTTAAAAGGGATTTTAAGTGATGAAGGTTAAATACTCACCTTCATCAAAGTGTGATTTTTGGCCATTCATCCCTAAGAGGGTAAAATTAGGAGTAAAAGTTTGTACAAATATTTGTAAAAACGGTTCTAGAATCATGAAATTTTGTACAGAGGACCGTTAGGTCAGAATTATCATTAAAAATTCATCACATTAATTTTAAGTAAACATTAAATAGAAAAAGAGTGAAATAAAAAGTGCATTCCAAACATTATAACGGAATTGACTTAAAATTTAATATCTTACAATTTGCCTCTGCTCTCTCAATTGAACAAAAATTGAGGAATGGAAAATGTTAACATGCTGAACAAGTAGCTTGAGTGAACGACCCGTACAGGATAGACATGTGAAACAGATACTTGATTAGGGGGTTGCGTTTTTCAGATACAAATGAACTCTTTGTTCATTTTTCAAGTTTTGAGTAAAATTACTTTCAATTAATTTCATACAAAATGACTGTTTTTTTTTGTAAGTTCCCACCATTAAAGGAAGTAATTTTTGTAATTTCCAATCATAAAAGGAATGTATAAAACATTCAAATTTTATGCGGTCGAAGTCGCGGAAATAAAGCCAGTATCAAATAAAAAGGTAATTTATCTCTTACCTCCGCCTCCGTATCCTCCACCACCGCCAAAGCCTCCTCCAGATCCATGACCTCCACCATATCCTCCACCTATAATAAGCAATTACAAAATTTAGTTGAAATCAATATACAAATTAGAGAATCTTTATTTTTTACAAACCGTTTAATATATTACATGGAATAACATTTTAGAATAAATATTTATTATGAGTTTAAAAACAAATAATAGAATAATCAAACTAGTTACGACTTAATTGCGTGCCTTGTAGTAAAACTTAAGAGGACTTTAAGGAGACTTTATCGTTTTATTTTTTATACCTTTCAGTAGTATATAATATTTCAATTGTAATATAATTTAATAGTTAATTTTATGAGACTTCATTTATTATGAAAGCATTACCTCCGGATGGTAGCGGGTCACCTCCGTGCAATTTAAGTATTTTAACAGATCCCCCTCCTCCATGACCTCCTCCAAATCCTCCTCCTCCTCCATAACCACCACCACCTCCATGGTGATCTCCACCTCCTCCATATCCACCTCCTCCTCCAAATCCTCCTCCTCCTCCATATCCACCTCCACCTCCATGGTGATCTCCACCGCCTCCATATCCGCCTCCTCCTCCAAATCCTCCTCCTCCTCCATAACCACCACCACCGCCGTGGTGATCATCAAGTCCACCTCCTCCACCTCCTCCTCCAAATCCTCCTCCATAGCCTCCATCACCTCCATGGTGATCACCACCTCCTCCATATCCACCTCCTCCTCCAAATCCTCCTCCTCCTCCATAACCTCCGCCGCCGCCATGATGATCATCAAATCCTCCTCCTCCGCCACCACCAAATCCACCTCCTCCTCCATATCCGCCATGACCACCACCACCACCGTTGTCTTTAATTACGATTGTATGAGAAACACCCCCTGTAATAAAATAAATTATAAAAAAGGTGTAACAAAAGCCTTAACAATATAAAGGGTATTCCAATAAGAGGTTTCGGATGTTGATAACGAATAAATAAAAGTTTCATAACAGCAGTTCAGCGCTGGTTGCCACAGTTCAACAATTTGATCAAATGAACGTTATTTTAATACAGCGGTTTAATAAAATGATGTTTTAGTTTAAAAGAAAATCAGATGTTGATTACTAAGACTTGATTAGTATTGAACTGGGCTCCAGTAACTACTTAGTCAAAAGTAGGGATCTTCAACACCCCGGCGGCGCGCCTAAAAAAAACCGTTCGAGGTTATTTGACGCCGCGACTTGACGCTGACGCCTGGCGCGTTCCTGGAGCTTATTAACACTTTATTATTCCCGTGGTACATAGATAATTTTATTTCTTACTGAATTTAGTATATTTATTTCGTCCCATTTTAAAGGGACTCAAATGTTGCATTTATTAATCTTCCGGTATATTTGTATTAACGCTGCTAGTATGAACTTTGTTGCCAGGTTACTTTGTATTAAATGACCTTTTTGTTTATAACTTGAGGGTTGTTGTCAACCGAGTTCAGTTTTTTGTCCAAAAAATGCCTTTCGCGCGAATTTGACACACGTTCGAGTACTTTTCTATTAAAATGGAGGAAATATTAAAGAAAGCTGAAGCACAACAAGCGTTACTTCCATATCTTAAAGTGGTAATTTACCAAAAGGAATATAAAAAATACCTTTATTGACAGGGACAGAAAAATATTATAGGATGTCGATGAAACTGTTCTCTTGTAAATTTATTATACCGGGTGGTGCAACGTCATTGTATTTCGTAATAGGAAACCACATGCAAATTTTAAACTGTTCAAATATTGGTTTCTCTGTTGATTTTACAGCGAACTTGTTTTTTAAAGGTCTGCGTTTGCTCAATACAATGCCAAATTTGAACAATTTTGAACAAGTTGATTTTAATGAATTTAGGAAATACAAAATCAGGCATTGGCATATGCCTGGTTTTGCATTTGGCAAACCTTAAGTTATCAACCTATGATTATTATATTATATTTGTGAACGTTTAATTGTATTTTCTATACGTTAGGCTTTTGCCATTTCGGGGACACTATAACCGTAGGCATTATAACGTAGTAGTGTAGAATGCACAATATTTTTTTTGAAGAGACAACAAATTATATTTGTCAATTATAAAATTATCAATATTATTTACTAGAGTTTGGAGATGGAACGGAATGACAACTTAAGGTATGTTTACATTTGCCTGATTTGCATTGTTACCTGTTCAGTTTTAATTTAAAAATAGATGCAGTTTTCTTTAAATTAGCTAAAATCGGCTTGGCCAAAACAGTTTAAATTTGATATATGTATTCAGGATACGCAGACCTTTAAAACCCCTATTTACAAGCTAATATTTGATCAGTTAAAAATTTGCATGCGATTTCCCAACCACGATGCACCACCCGGTATGTAATATTAATGACGTAAATACATTATTAGAGTAGTTAGATGAGTGTATCCGTATTGTATTTTATAGTTATCATCTTAATTCTCGTTAATAATGTCCCAAGAGAGTTATGACCCTATTTATGGTGAGTGTAACCAAGTCGGTATAAGTTTATATCAATTCAGTAAGAAATAAAAGAAGTAATAAAGTTATATTTAAAATCAATTTAATATACCTCCTCCGCCGTATCCTCCGCCACCTCCACCTCCTCCGTGGTGATCATCAAATCCTCCTCCTCCTCCTCCACCAAATCCACCTCCACCTCCATATCCGCCGCCGCCGCCACCATGGTGGTCATCAAATCCGCCTCCTCCACCTCCTCCGTATCCACCACCACCTCCTCCTCCAAAGCCGCCTCCATGATGGTCGTCAAATCCTCCTCCTCCTCCTCCTCCTCCAAAACCGCCTCCATATCCACCACCGCCACCTCCGTGATGGTCGTCAAATCCGCCTCCTCCTCCTCCTCCTGCAGCAATAGATATTATTTATTATGGTTTGGGGATAGAACCTTTAGTTTTAACACCGCAGAAAAATAAAGCACCTATTCACCACAGTACACCATTACATTTAAACGCATTGGACGCATGTTTCGCTAACTATGTTAGCATCATCAGCAGATGATTTAAAACTCAAAGAGATTGATGATTAGGTAAATTTTCGAACTTCTTTGATAACCATTTTTGATAACCATCCGGCTTATAAATTTTAGTTTGTATAAGCTTGTTATTTAAAGTGGACCTTTTCTTAATAAATTTTGAATGAAAACCACAAACATATTTCTCTGAAAAAGTTTAGTAGTTTTAATTATCTGCTAATGGTGCTAACATGTTTTGCGAAACACGCATCATGTGCAAAAGCAAGTGCCTTGGTGTGGTGAATTAATGCTTTGTTTTAAATATAATTTAATTAAATAATTCAAAAATAACTGATTAATATGTTTTACCTCCGAAACCACCTCCTCCTCCATGACCATGGTCTTCTATAATAACTCCTCCTCCTCCTCCTCCACCTCCAAATCCTCCACCTCCTCCATATCCTCCACCACCTCCGTGGCCACCTCCACCGCCGTGATCATGAACTACCACCTCCTTATGATGGTGCGATTGTTCAGGTAAATGTATTTTTATGTGGACACTATTAAATAATTAATAACAATAAATAAAGACTTGTTACATTACATCAACTGAATAATAAGAGTAAGGACGATCAAATACCATACAATCGAAAAAAAAAGACGGCTGGGGAATGACAATCGATGATAATTTTGGCGAAGTCAAGACCTAGATGTCATTATTTGGCCAATACTCTTTTTTATCTGTTAATGGCGCTTACTGCCAGTTGGCCTTAAGAAGGTTGTAATTTATTTTTATACTGAATAAAAATGGTTTTAATTTAAAATTTGAGAAAAAAATATTTTTTTTGAAATCGGTCTGGAAATATCCTATCCTTTTTTAATCTGTCTATAATTAGTATAAATGTTTGATAAAATTTATGTCTATTTTTATTAAATGAAGTCTAGAGATTGACCTCGCCAAAATTATTATTGATTGTCATTCTTCAGCCGTCACTGACGCCGTTTTTTTCGATCATAAAAAGTCATTTCAAAAAGACTTAAATCTTAATTCTTAAATAAGTTCAAAAATAGTAAATTAAATTTAAATCTTAAGTCCATAACAATATACAGTTCAAATGATTTAATTTTTAAGTCTTTAACTTAAATCATTTTCTTGCAAATCTAGTCATTTTCGTAAAGATTTAAATCAATATAATGTAATTTAAGTCGTTTTTATAACTTAAGTCTATATTTTCTATTTAAATCATGATGATCTGAGAGTTAAGTGGACAAAATGGCCTAAATGAAATAATTACCATCAAGTTAATACAGCTAAAGTTCAATTTAAGTGACTTTTATTAAGTGCAAATCTAAAGTATGTGTTAGGATTTATTTCAGGAAAATATTTTAACTTCTCCAGGGTGGCCTAAAATAGTGTGAGTGGATTAGAATGTTTTTTTTAACGAAACACCCTGTATATTATTATATTTTTGGCTTCCTTTCAGATCACTTTACATATCCCTAAGATATTATTAAATATGTTTTGATAGTTTTAGAGATATTAATAAATAAATAAAAAAAGTATTTTTTTCAGTCTTTTTTAAAAAAATATTAAAAATACAAGAAATGCCTGAAATCAAAACTATACTAGGTATTTACTATAATTGGTCTGTACTTACTTACTATAATACTTACTTACTTACTTACTTGTTATAAATATCGTAAATCTTGAACCATGCAAGGAGTTCAAAATTCTATATCAAACTTTTTAAAACATAAAGTAGCTTTTCTTCGTTTTTTTTAATGGAACACCCTGTATATTATCTCTTTGTTAGATGAAGAATCAAAAAATTAACTTTTTTTGTATTTAAAGTAATTTAAAATTTTTAGTTGTTTCGTGAATATTCGCGGTTTTATTACACATGTCTTTTAAAAACATGACTTTTTAAGAACTTTTATATAATATAATACAAAGAATATCATCAAAACTGTACAAAAAATTGAAATACAAATATATAATAATAATAGCTACCGTATATAGCGTTAAACGCGTTGGGAGTAGCAAGGTACAGCTTGCCATACTAGAGCAGTTCGGTATACAAATGAAATACAAATATTCATTTTTAAATTCTCCACCTAACAAAGGAATACTCTATAAGTTGTTTAATTTTTTTTTGAACTCCCTGTATAAAAAAAAACAAGAAAAACTATTTTATATTTTAGAAAGGTGGGCATAGAATTTTGAGCACCCTGTTTGATCCAAGATTACAATCTGTATAGCAAACTAAGTATGGACCAACTATACTAATTACCTAGTAAAGATGTGGTTTCAGAACATTTTTTGTATTTTTAGTAATTTTCTTAAGAAAGAATGATACATTTTTTTAATTTTTTTTTATTAGTATCTCTGAAGCTATCAAAACATATTTAATAATATCTTAGCATTGTGTAAAGTGATCAGAAAGAAATCCCAAAATGTAATAGTATATAGTGTGCTCCATTTAAAAAAATCATCCCGACCTTATTAGACTTATCCTGTAAAAGTTAAAATATTTTCCTGAAATACATCCTAATACATACTTTAGGTTTGCACTTAAAAACAAAAATCCCAAGCTTTTATTAAATGAGTTACAGAAGCCCGACGCACTATTGCTAGACTCTGTATATTCTCTCGCAGCAAGAGTGATTAATATAATTCGACATAAAAAAACGATAAAAAATTAATTTACGAACATATAAATACATTTTTCTGTAACATTACATTTACTTAACATATTAAATAAAAAATAAGGTATATTTTACACGTTATAAATAATAACTATATAATTTTATTAAAGAAAAGAATAACTTTAGTACTTACTGTTCTTTGCCAAATGTGGCGTATATATCCCTCGACCATGTTAACAACAGGCAAATGACCTAAAACGTACATAGAAAATTACCAGACAATAGTATATATTATTACCTAGATATATTTTGATTAGCTAAAACACTTACGAGAACGTTAGAAGTCATTCTGCCTATGACTTCTACGTTGACACTGATTTTTCTTAAAATTAAATGCTAAATCTTCTTGATTCCACATGGTTTTATATTGCCGTTAAAATCATCGTATGGTACCCCGTTGAATTTGTCTTGAATGGGGGGCCGCTAGACAGCGTGAGAGAAAATATAGTAGGTATGTGTATAGTTTCTAGTAAGATTTGGGGAGAACTCATGTACGATGTTGCCGTGATTAACAATTACCAAGTTCATTTACGAAATGTACGGTGTTTAAACAGGCTTTATTTTTTTTAATTTTTTGGGATGTTTTTTAAATAAAAACTTGTAAATCTTTTTCTGTCAAAAGATAAAATTATACCAAATAATGTCTACACCCATGGGCTCATGTCTGTATAAAAGATTAAGTATTTCGCTTCTTTATCAGAATCCAATTAAAAAGGCCTAACGTTTCAGGTATATTTTGTTTTTCTTGGGGTGTTTTTTTAACTACAAACTTTTTTGAAATAATACTTCTATAATATATAAAATTAAAATATAGTCTTTCCAAAAAAAAAATTCTTTATGGGTATTTCGCCACTGTACTGCAAGAAAATCTACAAAATAAAATAATTATTTTTTGTAAACACTTCTGCGTTAAACCTAAACGGACGCTGCTTGTCAGAAGTTATATTTACAGTAATATAAATTTGTCTAACAAAGAAAAAAATATGCTTAACGTTTCGGAAAGTTATCTCTTTCCGTCGTCGGAAGCAAAGAAATATATAAAGAAAAAATACAAAGAATAAAAAAAACTATTTATATTATTTAAATTCAACTATTCGAGAACACTTTACTTTTTTAAAACAGATACGTCTACAAAAAACCGTTGACGTTCGGTTAAAAGGACATTTTTAACTTGATATTTAAACTTCAAAATTAACAATAACTACCTGATAACAATTACTTAATAAGGTAAAACCAAAAAGCCCCAAACTTTCTGTATGATTATTTTTAAATTTTACGTATGTTATGTTTATTTATCTTGTTGTATCTATTGTTCTTTAAAATCAAAGAGAAGCGATTGCCATACATTACTAACATCTACAGATACATGAACAATACATTTATTTTTATTAGATTGAATTAAAAAAGCCTCTTTTATTTTTCTGCGTTTAGGTTTAACGCAGAAGTGTTTACAAAAAATAATTATTTTATTTTGTAGATTTTCTTGCAGTACAGTGGCGAAATACCCATAAAGGATTTTTTTTGGAAAGATGAATCCGCCACAGGTATAGACATTTTTTAAAATATAGTCTGTCCAACCACAAAAGTCTTGACAGTGATATATGAAAGACTTGACAGTTTATAAAGAAATAAGTTGGTACAATAATAATAATGAAATAATTAATGCTGAAAGAGGAAAGTGAGGGAAGTGAGGGAAGGCGACTCAAAGCCCACCAAATAATAATCACAGTAAACTCATATTTAAAGTAATAATGCTATGGTAATGTTTTACAGGAGATATCAACAGACGGTAGGAATAGAAACCTTTATAATAAATATTTGTGACTGGTTGTAATTTTGCTACCGCTACCCTTTGAATAAAAATAATAAGGAAGGAGTATAATACTATACATACATTCATGCAAGGTAGATGGACAAAGAGCCATAGGATGGGAATTCTTGACAGTTCTGTTTGACGGTTCATTTGACACATTTGTTATTGGTTATTTATTATTTATTTTACTACTGATAGTTGTTTAAAGGTAGTAAATCTAGAAGAAAATTGTAGCAGAACTTAAATTAACAGTGACACTATTGCGATTTATCGAAAAACACTGTAAAAATGTTGGTTGTGTAGCGTGCGGTAGATCTCTATCAAAAATTGAGCGAAAAAACGGAATAACTTTTCGCTAGTAAGTGACTGATATACTAAACATACGTACAGTTAAATGATCTTTATGAAATTCACTTATAATTAGCTTAATTATACATGTTTTCTTGCATTTTTGCTTTTATTTACTTTTATTTACTACTTGTCAAAGATTAGATGTCAAAGAATTTAGATACGTCAATTTGACTTACCTGCTTCAGTAGCGTATCCGATGTTTGTGTTAATAAATGATTATTACAACTTATCTCTTTTTATTAGAATGTATATATTTTTATAACACTTTTAATAAATACCTACATTGATTAACACCGTAAAATAAAACAACAAATTATTGAGTCTGCCCTATGTCTACCCTATGTCTACCCTATGTCTACCCTATGTCTACCCTACATCATCAGTCTACTTACTTTGATACAAGTTTCATGTTAAAAAGCCTGACAACTAGACTTGGATTAAACAGTCAACACCATACAAACAGCGTACAAGTGAGACACGCATAGCCTTATCATCATCATTTTCAGCTTATTCAACCATTTCCAATTATGGCGTATTTAGATAATCAATGTCTTTGTAATTGGGCCCATTGTCACAAATTGTTGTATATTTTTGGCTATTGCGGGCCCAAGTTAATTGCTAATTTCCTAATATCATGGTCCCATCTCAAGTTTGGTCTTTTTCTAAGTCTCTTAATTCCTCATGGGTACCATGTTGTCATTTTTGTGGCCCATTTGTTGTTCGTCCTTCTTGCCAGGTGTCCTGCCCATTGCCACTTGAGGGATTTGATTCTATTACCTGGGTCTTTTTTCGCATCCACTCTATTTATCCACTCTCTCTTACGGTCTTTCTTGGTTATTCCCAGCATATTTCGTTCCATTGAGCGTTGTGCGACCTACAGTTTCCTTATAACGTCCGTTTTAAATCTCCAGGTTTCGCATGCATAGGTCATAGCTAGTAGTAGACATTGGTCTAATTTTTTCTTCATTAGATAAAGTGCATTCTATATTTGAATGTGAATGTGTTTCTTCCATAACTACTCCATGCTAACTTAATTCTAATGTTGATTTCTGCTAGTAGGAATGAAGGAGAATCTTTGTCTATGGTAGAGATCCCGAGCAGTGTATTAGTTGTCCCAAATATATGTATTCTTCTACTATTTCCAGTGTTGTGTTATTAGTCTTTTCTGTCTACTAGTTTGTTTTGGTGCATTATTTTTTGCTTTCATTCACTTTATTGCTGGTTGTATTTAGTTCGTTAATTTGTGCTTGTAGTTCTTCAGAACTATTGACAATTAGGACAATGTCATCAGCGTTAAGAGATTCTCCATCTATTTTTAATTCTTTGTTGGTCCAAGCATTATTATAAGTAGGTACAGTTATATGACAGCATCCAAGTGTACTTGGTTCTAGTACACTTGCCCGTGTCAACCTGCCTTTAGGTCACTTTCAGTAAAACCATTCCTAGAACAATAATGAACGTAATAACGAATTGTTTTTATATCAAATAATATTTAAACGTAACAAACTAAAATATGATAGAACCAAAATGCAGCGTGGCAACAGGATATCTGTCCGTGACCTATAAACTTTCATTGAACGATAGTGAAAGGGTTAACTGAAGACCGCTGAGGTTGTCGTCTTCAGGCTATAACAACGTGTCTGGTAAGGTGAAAGAGCTTTCTTTACAAGAGTACTGTAATACGTAATGTATGTTTATATTAAAACCGGTTAGTGTTTGCAATTTGGTCTTGCCACATACCCGTTAATAGATTTTTAAATGATAAACATAGGAAAAACTATTAATTTTATTTTAGTGTAATAAGGGTAATACTTCAGGGTTTAACCTATTGAAATATACACATGGCCAAAATTATTGCATATAACGATATTTTTATTTTATTTTGGACCTAATATGATTCTTTTTATATTTTTGGACATATTGGCTTACTACATGACTAACTAGTATAAAATTAGAAATCTAAGTGCAACTATAATATTATTATAATTTTATTTCATAATGAGTGAAAATCAACAAAAATAAATTTCATTTTAAACAGAAAATATTGAAAACAATTTCTCACAACTAATAGTCTGTATTGCCTCAATGCAAGCTGTGAGACGACGTGGCACGCTCTCAATTAAGTTGTCCAGAAGATGTTGAGGAATGGCTTCCCATGTTTCCGCACAGCAATTTTCAACTTATTTAAGGTACGGGGGGAGCATTCCTTTTGGCAATATGGCGATTTAGCATGTCCCAAGCATGCTCGATCACATTCATATCTGGAGACATCGGTGGCCACCACAGTTTTCTTATACCCTCTTCCTCACAAAATTCGCGAACCGCTAAAGTACGAGTGAGGAGCATTATCGTTCATGTAAACAAATTCATCCCCCACTGCCCCTCGAAATGGGCGCACAATAGGCTCTAAAACGTAAGGTATGAGGCACCTGTCATTGTGCCATCAATAAAAACAAGAGGAGTTCGAGCTCCGTGCATTATACCAGGCCATACCATAATCAACGCTGCAAAGTTCGTCGCGGGTCTGACACTAGGCCTATTCTTGTTTCATCAGTAAACATGACGAAATTTCAATTAGGCCTCAGCCCATTGTAGTCGCGTAATTTTGTGCTGTAAATTAAGCTTCGGAAATGTAATCCTCTGTCATGGAGTCTTCTTGCTATGATTTTTCTTGAAACATTTACTCCTTCAAGGCGAGATAACTCATTTTTAATAGCAGTACTAGAAAGCGGGGGATTGCCTCGTGCAATTAGGGATATTTGACCGTCTTGCACAGCAGTAGTAACTCTCTTTTTACCTCTTCCAGGCCGGTCTGTAACTTCGTTAGTCTCCCTGATTTTTTAATATTCGCCAAACATCTCTTTGGTTAACTCCTACTAATTTCAGCTATTGCAACTTGCCGGTAGCCCTGTTGAGACAGTGTTACTATTCTGACTCTTTTAAACTGTGAAATAATGTTTCTAGGCATTTTCAGGCCAAAACAATGATCAAATTCCTTCTGAAACCCAAGAGACCACAAATCGAAATGAGCAAGAATTGGTAATAATATTGGGTCTGAACGATAAACATTGTTTACCATATCCATTTTAACAAAAAAATGTTTATTACAGATTATCAAAGCTATGTATAAAACAGATTCTTTAAATTCCTTTCCGTATATTTTTAAACGATATATGCAATAATTTTGGCCATGTGTGTAATTTCAATATATTGAAAAAAGCGCTTTGTGCTTTGAATTAAAAGATTAAG